CATGCTGCAGGTGTTTAAAGTGTTCCACATTCGCACCCACACTGGGAAGAACCTGAATAAGGCTGCAGCCTACATCAGAATGAGAACATGTGAATAGGTGACCCAACGTCAATGTGGGCTGCACGCTCCTTCGCTCAGCTTAATGCCTCTGCAACCAAGCCAAAACCTTCTCGGCGATCTCTAGACTGTTCCTCTCCATGAAGAACATGTGGCCATTGCCGTGAAGGCCTTCTTCTCCGAGCGTCATGTGCTCCACGTCCACACCTGCCTGTCGCATGTACTCCACAGTGCAATGATCGTACATCGCATGGTAGCTCGCCTCTGAAGTCACTGTCAGCACCGGTATCTGCGCCAAATTCACCAAATGCCTCGCCGGTTCATCCTGCATGATACATTCACTCGAATTGACGTCTCTTGCAGGAACAACAACAGTCTGGATGTACGTCGCATTGGGTCCCGCCGACGGCTCGTAAGCGACTTCGAGCTCAGTGATGCCGAAAGGTCGCGCGGGACCTGATCCAAAGATTCTTCCGATGAATGGTGGGCCCGCGGGCTCAAGTGCAATGATACTCTTGACTAGATGAGGGCGGAGGTCACCGACGCGCCATCCATAGGCACCAGCCTGGCTATGCGCGATGGTGTGCAACGGACCGCCGATCTTGTCGAGAAGAGCGGTGTATGCTTTCGCGTTTTCGGCTTCAGATATCACGTTGTCGGCCTGGTATTGAACTTGAGACGCATAGAAGGCGTCGAAGACTGGATCACCCGCTTTGCCAGTCCCGGGCCATTGGGTGTGCGACCGTGCTTGCGGCCAGAGACTATGCGATGACGTTGAGGTAAACAGCTGCTCGATCAGGGCCGTGCTGGAAGATTTCATTGTGCCTGTAGTCGGCAACCACGGAGAACGACCGCGCGATGGCTGATCGCTCAGATAGACAGTATAGCCGTGCGATAAGAAGAACGAAGCCCAGCCTGGTCGACCATCTGGTGTATCGAGAAAGGTTGTTCCAGTCTGACCAGTTCCGTGCATGAACACGAGGGGATAGTCTTGGGTTGGCTTTGCTGGGGTGAGCTTCTCAACATAGATCTGGTTGACCATGTACTGCGCGGTCGTATTTCCTACCTATACGATCAGCATTTACTGGGAGTTTAGAAAGAAAAGACTAGCTTGCCCTCTAAGAAGACTGCGCCCTGAAGTTATGTACGGCATTTGGTTTTGCAGTAAGTCAGAGTAAAATGCAGTGCACTCCTTCAGGGCATGGTACCTGTAGCTGGGAGGGAAGAGTTCAGTCGTCAATTTCGCGTGACTTACTGACAGGTTCTGATACTCCCCGCCAACGTAGAAGAACTCGCGTTGCGGTGTAGGCACCTCGCCAAAGCCATTGATCCAGCTATTAGCGTCGAGTAATGGCGCCAGCCAGGAAGTCACGTTGCTAAGGGATAGCATCGCGAGATCGGTAACCGACTAGAGGAGGTGCTGTTGGCTACGGAATAGCTGCAATTCTTGTGAAGAGTGAGAGCGATGGATGTATGTTCAGGTTGACGTGGTGGTGGCTTGGCAGCTTACATGCGCCTTCCACAACAGTAATAGGTCTACCGAATCGTTGGGTTCACTTCGCACCACTCCAGGGCTCAACATCATGCGAAATATCACTAGAACATCCACTGACTTTGCGACGCGCAAAGAAAAGGGTTTACTATCTACTTTCCAATTATGCATACTATCTCGGACTACGACGTTGGGGGCGAGCGCGACGAGTGGGTGGTGGCGGCGGTGATGTAGGCGGCACGCGTGCTTTTGATGTTGACCCCGAAGGGCGATGCTTCCCCGAAGTGCATCTCGCTGCACTATTCCGCGCGAGAAGTGTCATTCTTGAGGGTCTGAAATCGTCAGAGCCATGTACCATCAAACTATATAATCTATTACTTACATTGTAGGCGGCGAGGAAGTCCTCGTAGTCCTCACGCCTCATCCAGCCGTCACGCTGGTAGGCGCGCGCCTCCTCCGCGATCTCCAAAATGCGCTTTTCGCGCACGTTTCGTCGCCGCTGGAAGTACATGTAGGCGCCCAGCCGAAGCGACAGCACCACGAGGATCCCGAAGACCCAGACGCTGCCCATTTTGATGTTTGGGGACTACGTAGTACGAAAAACGAAAAATCGTCGACGAAGAAAAGGCGAGGAGACTTCAACAGATTTGAGAAGACGTTCGTTGCTACAGAAGAAATGTTGACATGCCTACGATACGGTTTTATGGACTCTACCGGTTTACTCCTTTCCAGATGCTTGGCTCACGACTTCTTCGTCCCACGCACTACCCACAACGGATCCAAGTGATCTGGAAGTCGCTGTGAACTCACAAGCACCGTCCCCTGATCATCAGTGACGCGCATGCCATTTTCATCCCTCGCGCAAAGATCCACTATCTGTACATCCTTCCATCCCGCGAAATGCAAGTAATCGCCCACAAACTCGAGTCGTGAGCGCTCATCTAGCATCATCCATCTTCTCACGACCTTGTTTGGAAAGCACCGGTTGCTAATAACGAGATGAACGCTTCCACCCTCTTTCGTGGCCTCCAAAAGTTTTTTGCAAACCTCTAGCGGGTTGTTGAGGTAGTCAATGCTGACGACGCACGTCGTTGCGTCGAATTGCAAATCCTGGCCATTTTCCCATGCAGTTCGTACGTCGTGTGGTGGTTTGTTCAGGTCGAGCACTCGCCAGCGAGCGGGGCCCCGGAACACGCCATTAACTGCCATTTCCTCCTCATTGAGTCCCACGCCATAAACTTCCAATTCTCCCTTCTGGATGGCTTCCTTGACCGATAATGGGTAGAACGACTTCCAACTCGTGCACATATCCATTATTCTGCCGGTCTTCGGTAATGCGCCATCGTAGTATTGTGTCAACCGCGCAATTGACGGGTCATCGATATGCGTAACGAGTCTGGGTTGTCGGTAGAACACGCCATCATCGTTTTCGTCGTATCGCACGAAATCGGAGTCGGTATACGGCCAGGTATCGTATGTTGGGGCATACGGGGTTGCGGGAAAGGTTGCGGAAGACATGTTTGCGACAGTGTAGCCGGCGAAGAAGTTGAAGGGGATGGAGCGGTTAAGTGATGAGTATGCGCGCCATGGGGTGGCGAGGTTTGGTTTGAGGCTACTAATATAGCGAGGGAGGGACATGAGTTGATGATATCAGGGAGGGCGAAGCATTGGAAGTTTGCTGGGAAGGCGCGTTCGGTTGGTGTGGGTGAAATACCGATGATGACGTCATGACACGCGGACTCACGTGCCGACGCGAAGTGCATTCCTTTGACTTAAAACTGCCGCCTCGTCAAAGGCTCTAGCATACATTAGGTCTTCGTACATTGGGGGATACGACATGTATCTAGTCGGTGGTTGCAGTGGAACTGGCCCCCACGACAATATCAGCGCCTCGCTGCAGGTACGGGTCGGCTATTCCGAGCATCGGAACTGGTATCCCGAGCTTGCGGGGTATCTCCATCCACTACCATAAAACTATCTTGACAATCGTGATCAATCTTCGAATGTTTGCGCCCAAGCTTCAGGATGACAGCTATCCTCACAACCGCTAGACTGGTCTTCAAGGACTCAGCTGCCCGACAAAAGGCCATTGACGCATTCCACAAGATCATCGAGTTCACCGCACCACACGAACCGGAGGTTTTGCAATATGTTTGCGCGTTACCGGTGGATGACAGTTCGCGGACTGAGATATACATGATTGAGGAGTAAGTTCATAAGTCGGATGGATTACAATGTCGCTAACCGTGCTAGATACGCAAACCAAGCAGCAAGTGATGCGCACCTGACTACCAAGCCTGTACAAGGTCTTATTCACCTGTTCACTACCGGAGACGTCCTCGCTCAGCCACCAGAAGTCCACAACTGCCCGATTATCACCAAGAAAACATCATCACCAGTACCGATCTCATCAAATTCGGCCATCGTTCTCATGAACATTCCCTCCAAACCGGACGCATCCGCCACCCAAGAGGCCGAAAAGTGGAGCGAGCTGTCGCAGATCGTGATGAAGAGTGTGAAAGGCGTAAACTCATTCACAGTCGTCGCAGACCGAGAAACAAAAAGTACACGTGTGGAATGCGTACTACAGAGTTGGGATTCGTTTGCCGCATACCAAGAGTTCATGGTTGATGGCCGGAGAGATGGGGCGGATTTGGTGAAGATCAGGCCGATTGATGGCTTTACTGGACGTGATAGTTCGAGCAAGTTGTGAATGAGAAGTCAGATAATAGCAGCGACTCAAGAACTTGTCACGACTATCCACTCTGCTCATGAGTCCAACTCTTCGTCTGCGTGATCCACATATCAAGCCAAAAATCGTGAACTGGTGATCCCGCCTGACTAACCCCGCGAGTCAAGTGTCGTTGCCCATATAGATGATGCCAGTAGTCGCCTAGATCTGCTCTCGTCGTGCCGTGTATGCCGTACCGCCGCGGGAGAATGTCGGCAAACCATCCGAACGAGCGATGAGGCTGGAATGAGGTGTTAGTGTGTGGAATTGGCTAATCGCTGGACATCAAACACCGGCGATAGTAGACTGACGCACTGCGGAATGATGAAGATGTCTCTAGTGTTAACGCGGGCTAGCTATGATTTCAAGAGTCCTAAGACTTCTTTGTCGCTCTAATACGACGCATAATCATTGCCGTATTAGTAGAAGACGATGGCGGTGCGAGCCATACCTCAACGCTCTGAGAGGCTCCGTTGTGTTCGACCCAGCAATTCAGTCGACGAGGACAGTTGTGGCCACGATACATGCGATACCCCGGAGAGCGTACGACCTCGGGCCAACTGATGTTATGGTTGACGGTTTGGCACTCGAAATGCGCCATTCTGGATATAACCCATCCTCTATGTGGGTTTACCTAGTGCATACTTAGCCCCGCGTGTCTCCTTTTTGATGCTGGTCGGCCCAAAGTTGTGTTCAACGTTGGCGCAAAACTTTGCGCGATCATGATTGCGAGTTGGGCCTTGTGCTTACTCTGCTGGTCGATACTTCGACGGCATCGTGCAGTTCTCGGACGGATCTAGGGAAAGAAAAAGAAGTAGCGAAAAGATTGTGAATTCGACATACCTTGTTCCAGCGAAGATCGCTCACCGTAAGAGTATCTTCTGGCCCACCGTCGTAACTATCGCTAGCATCCAGGTACGAACCCGGACAGTGCACCTTTTCTGCGTCCTCCTGGCTTCTCTCGATACAGGATTGAACAAGCTTCGTCCACAGCCATTGCCCTTTCGGGTTCCCTTCCACTTTTTGACGATCACACCATTTGTAAAGTTCGGCGCAGTGTCGGGCGGGTTTGATGCCATGCCACATGGTCGAAACCAGTATTGTGTCATAGACTATGGAGCGGTCGCAGCCAGCTTCGATAACAGCAAATCGCACGGTGTCCAGGTCGGCAGGTCGGCCTAGGCGTCGATTGTGGTTGAACAGCTCTACTGCCTCAAGATTGCGTTCCAGCATGGCATTCTTTCTCGCAGTAATAGTCGCATGCGCAACTTCAGGGTTCGTCCAGTCGACAGTCATCGCTGTAATCCAGAGTAAGAATCGTAAGAACTCGACTTTGTCTTGGGTCAACGAGCCCGTGAATAGCTTCTTCGGTAGGCGTCCCTTCACAAAAGCGAGCCGAGGAAAATGACTTCTAGAGAAGACCATCTGTGTGGCATCTTGGAAGTCGGGCGGCCACTGGGCGTCGAAGCAGCCTTCATCTGTCGTCAGGCCACAGAGACATCCTGCGGGTTCAAATCGTCGCACGATCCACGACTTGAAGAAATCCCACGTCATCCATCTGCTGGCGAAGATAAAGGTTTGAGCCGCTGTCTGCTCGGCGCGCTTGCCTCGTACCTCAGTGAGGTAGTAGTCGCATGTTGAGTTGTAGATGTACTCGGATGACAGTCTTGCTGCGATGTGATGCGAAGCTTGAATGAGCGCGATGTTATGGTCGGCGGCGATGAAGATGGGTTGGAGAAGCTCGACGGGTAGACACTCGATCGGGGCGAGACCCATTTTGTGGATGAACAGCAGGATAGGTGAGGTGAAGGTGAGAATGAAGCAGTCGCTGATTCGCAAGGAGCCAAACGTCACGAGGCTGAAGTTATAAACGTGTTCCTGCAAGACGTCGACGCCGCATCGTGGACAACTCGGTGTAGCATTGGCCGACTAGGCATCAGCCCCGCATTTGCCCATTGAGGTATGCCGCTAATTACCCCACGCGGTGCTAGCGCGGTCGCGGGTGTCATCCGAGGCTCGCACCCTTCCATCGCAACAACATCACCACCTTCTTTTCGACACCAGCCTAGGGGACAGGCGCACCAATACTTCTCCCCTGGATTACGCGATATAGATTTCACGAAAACAGGTCTCACTTCACTACGCGCGACCAACGCGAGACCGAACTGCATCAATTGAACATTCACCACGATCGCGCGTTATGATACTGATGTTAGGTGCGCGTCGACCCCGGCCTGAACTCACCTGCTCAGAACTCTCAGTATTTCATGTAGAGTAATGCGTGTCTTGATACGCAGCCGGGCCATGGTCTCCAAGATAATGCTCTGGAAGCCGGTGACTTCGCTGATTTTACACGCTCCTAGGAGCAGTCGCATCGAAAGAGCTCGAGAGACGCGTCTTTATTCCAGGCCGACACGATGAGCAATTTCTGTCGATAGCGAATGAGATCAGATTTTCAGGAACCTAGCGACATTAGGGCGGGGTACTTTTCGGCATTACAGCGGGCGCAGTCATGCATCAGCTTCAACCCGTAAGCCTCAACCCGTAAGCTTCAACGCGTCGCTGTCAACTCGCGCAGCTTCGGTATATCCGTCCGTACCTCGCGCATTTTCGCTATAACAGTACCGCCTACATAAGGGAGAGCTTGGAACAGCTGTGAGAACACCATCTTTACACGATGGCTGATCTCGACCCGAGTATCTTGTTCAATGTGAAGGGGCTAGTGGCTGTAGTCACGGGCGGAGGAACAGGTAAGGAAGAGATCTTTCCTACATGCAGGGTTATTAATTCATGAATAGGCATCGGATTGATGATAGCGCAAGCACTCGAGGCGAATGGTGCGATTGTGTACATCCTGGGGCGCCGAGAGGAAGTACTGAAGCAGGCAGCCAGCACAGCGGTATGCTCGTCAAGCGACGTTCTAGACTATGCTGACGCGTTGTTTTAGAAGCATGGAAACATACACTACTTCAAGACCGATGTGACATCCAAATCCGATCTCTCCGCAGCAGTCGACCAAATCGCCGCCAAATCCGGCTACGTCAATCTTGTTGTCGCAAACTCCGGCATTCAAGGTCCAACACTCAAAGGGTTGGAAAAGGGTGCATCAATTGCCGAATTCCGCGACCACCTATGGAACTGGGATATGGACGAGTTCACGCAAACCTTTGCGGTAAACACTACATCGGCTTTCTTCACGGTCGTTGCGTTTCTTGAGCTACTCGACAAAGGCAACAAAGCCGGCAACATCGAGCAGAAAAGTCAGGTTATCTGTATTAGCAGTGCGGGCGCTTTCAACCGCGTACCGATGGCAGGGTACGCGTATGCTGGTTCCAAGTCGGCGGCAGTCCATATCATGAAGGCATTGGCGACGACGTTGGTGCCTTATGATATCCGCTCGAATGTGCTTGCGCCTGGTTGTAAGTCGAAGCATCCCCTTACTCATGCCTTTTGCTTACTAACGTCCGACAGTGTACCCCAGTGAGATGACCGCGGGCATGCTCAATCAGGAGACGTGGCCGAGGGACTTCATACCCGATCAAAGAGCTGGCAACATCAAGGATATGGCGGGCGCAATACTATTCCTTACTAGTAGAGCCGGAGGTTATGTGAATGGGAATGTCTTGCTTACCGACGGGGGGCGCTTGAGCATCCTGCCTGCAACTTACTGAGCTAGCCTTAATATTCAGCTTGGACAGGAAGAATGTAGTGTGCCCCGCCGTACAATATGTACTCAAGCTTTGCCAACCGCAAGGGCCGGCGCGCAAATGCTTATCTACCCGCGAATGTATGACGTGTTAGTTCGCGATCGTGAATTTCTGGCTCGATTCGGTGGGTTTTGCTGGCTTGTTCATGTTCTGTGGTGTGAGACGGTGGGTTCTGACGCGTATTTATCCGGTCAGCCACCAAGAGCTTGTGCAAGGCCGCCGATCACTCACTGTCATCGAAGCTGAAGAACATCGAATGCCATTACTATTAACTAATGCACAACAACTACACTATCGTTACAGCTCCTTGCTTTTCGTGTGGATAGGATAGGCCCATGGGATACGACCTTGGATACGGTCCTCACCAATGACGTAATCCAGTACCCTACTTTGCTTCATGCGCGGAGCGACAACGTACTTCATGAGAAGCCACTGGAAAGCGTAGAGCGGATAGATAAACCTGCCCACGAACCAGTAGATCGGCGTCGCCCAGGCGTGGCTGCGAGTTGCGGCAGCCGAGACACCAAAGTCAAAAGCAGTTGGCTCTTTCCGCGAAGACTGGTATTCCTGGAAGACTTGTTGGAGTTCCTCGAAGCTGATATCGGAGCCTGCATTCGACTTTGTTGCGTTGTGCAGTAGATTGCAGAGTAACGCGACGTCTTGAATGCCATTTGTGAACCCTAGGCCTGCATTCGGCGTGAACTTGTGACATGCGTCGCCGGCGAGCACGATACGTCCCAAGCTCCAATGCTCGAGCACGCCTTCGTCCAGATTTGACATGCCTGCGGTCGAGCTGTCGTAGATGTCTTTGACCTTTAAGTCATCATTGACAGGCCAGTCCGCGAAGCTAGCGGCAAATTCGTCCATTTCCTCCTTTGTATATCGCTTCGGCTCCTGGGTCGGCTCTGGCAGTTTCTCGTACAGCAACAACCAAGCACGTTCACGGCCGGTAATCCACATGAGCGATCGGTCTTTCCCTTGTGTGTTGTTTCCTAGACCGGCTGCGCATGGGCGCGGTGTGTTGGACCATAGACAACGGTAGTGGGCGGAGAACGGCGGTTCCGGGTTGCGGCAGTTTGAGAAGCGGTCTTCTGCTGAGAGCTTGTGCATGATTTTGCGTGTTTGGCTGTGTACTCCGTCGGCTCCAAGGACCATAGATCCGGTGAACGTCGTGCCGTTCGCGCAGGTGACTACGACGCCGGTCTCGGTTGTTGCGATGTCGACTACTTTCTGGCCGACATAGTATTTCTTCCTTGCTTCCTCGGGAAGGCCTTCTAGGAGAGCTTGTACGAGTTCGGCGCGATGGAATGCGATGGGCTCAAGGCCGAAGCTGTGCTAAGTTAGTAAAGTTTCAAGACGTGTTGGTCAGTTGACCGGAACTTACTTCTCCTTGACGATCTGAACTGATGTACCGTCTGCGAACTTCTTGCCATCCTTTGTGAAAGATTTGTTGTTCAGCACTCTCTGTCCGATTGAAAGCAGCTTGTCAAGCAAACCGAGTTGTTGCATTATTCGCATCGCATGTGCTCCGAGAATGAGGCTGGCGCCAACATCGACAATAACATCGTCCCTTCGTTCCAGAACGACGAAGTCAATGTTGGCTAGATGTAGTGCATGAGCGGCTGTCAGTCCGGTCGGTCCACCGCCGATCACGATGACTTTGAACAGTTGGTTTGCCATACTGTGGGCTGAGAGTTTAGGATGTGGAAGATGTTCTCCACCCCACAAGCTTTGAGATGCTATATATCTGTACACGCGACATTGGGATCAAACTGGGCGTCTGTGGGTCGTGCAAGTGCCGATGAAGGCTGGCCATGTAGCACATTGTACGTAGATCTCGGGAACCGAAGTACACCCGATTGTGTGGATAACTTCAGCATGCTCGGCCGAGGAGGTTGAGCAACAGTCACAAGAAGTTCGCACTCTCGTCAGGACTGTGAGGGTGAGGCTCAGCGAATTCGTTGCGACAGCAGCGTAATGCCGATGGATTTCTTTCGAAGGGCGCGCGTGAGCCGAAGACGCGTGCGACCAGGTGATGCTTGATGACCCTAGCCATCAAGAAACCTCATTGTTGCATACAAGTGACAACAGGAATGTCAAAAAGTGCGACGCGCATGATGTCGATGCTCAGTGATGGGTTCTGGGGGTTTACTGCAAACAGTGAGAGAATCGAGGAACTGTCGCGTAAGCATGTGAACGCCTGATCTTGTGAGTCAGGCCGCTGCGACCCGGTGACGACGCATCTTGTGCATGCTTTGAGATCGTGAGTGTGAAGTAAACACTGCTTTCAGGTTTGCATGAGGCGAAAGCGCACAAAGGGGTTGTTCAACGTTGTTTCTATGTGATCGTGATGATGTGGACATCCGCAGAAGATCGGAGACCCGCTGCCGCCAACACTAGCGTGCCAAGCTTCGATCCTCATCCCAAGCTTGTCGGGATCTCAATCTCCGCACCGCCGTTCTTCCACGCATCCTCAGAACAACAGCGCCAACTCTTCATTCGAGCAAAGAATCCTGAAAGACCCAGAGGCTACGTTGGCGTTGGAAAACCCAATTCGCATGTTTTCATCTCAATGTAGGCAGCAGACCCGTTCGGTTTTTTCCTTTCAGATACCCTCCTTTATCCACTTCGTCGCCAACTCGAGACATACCCTAGCATCAAGCCAGGGAGCGGTCGCAAGTTCCCTCTGAAAGGATCCAATGTTCCTAATCTCCGCTATGTCAAATCGGAATTTCAGGTTCGATACGCGAAGTACCGCAGCGCCGTTTGCATCCTGGTAAAACTCTGCAGTCTCCATATCATCGAGTGCGCTGTTGTGGGCGATGGTTGCTACTGCACGTAGATCCTCTTCGTCTATCACCAAGCTTAGAAACAGGCCCTGCGCCACGACGTCTATCCACAAGTTATGTGTGTCCAAGTACGGGACGGCATAGTTGATGTTGACTTGAGGATGCTGCCGGCAGTATTCGGCCAGCTCGAACATGACATCTTTGGATTCAAGCGACTGGCTAAGCTTTGGCACCTGTCTATGAGTGCTTGCCCAGAGGCTAATGTCGCGGAAACATCCCCGTTTATTCGCTGCGCAGCTCCGGATGAAAGTCAGGAAAAGTTGTCCAGGGCCGAATTTATCACTCCAGTGGGTAAGAAATTGCACTCGATTAACTTGGAGCTCCAGCCCCGCGGTCTCCTTGTACAACTGGCGACAGGTCAATTTCAGCTGATTGAGGTGGTCTTTGCAATTTGAGCGGGAGACTCCGTAGGGGATGAAGCGTGGGATGTTGTGGCCGTCAAATCCGTCGTCGCGAGACACACCCTCATAGGACCTCACACCGCTGTCAAACTTCAAACCGTCGTCGTCGTCGTCGGTCTGGAGTGCGTACTCGTATATGCGGTTGCGCAGCTCGCCAGGCAGTCGGAGCAGAGGGAATGTGCTGTTGGCGATGGTCGAATGCATCTTTGAGCTTTACGATCTGTCAGTAATTGCGAAATAGAAACGGGGTCTACGAGTGACTGACCTGGACGTGGTCTTGGAGCTTGATGAGAACCTGGTGCGCTTCTCGCGGTACCAGCGACGCAGACGATGTCTGAAACCCCCCGTCATGATGGCGCAGGGAACGACACACTGGAGCTGAATACCCAGTGCGCGCGAATGTCGTTGTTTGGCAAAACTTCTGCGCGGGCTGGGGAGCGAAGATTCTCGCCGTATCGGATCTTTCTCACCTTCACTTTGTGCACGGCCCACGTTCTCTAGCCCGTCTAGTGTGCTATCGGTATCACAGTCTTCCTCGCGGCCATCGCCAGTACTGCATCCTACATACCCGCTGACTGCAGCCCCGTACTGGAAACTTCCTTCACCACGACTGACCATCGCACCTGGTGCTGCCAGCTATGCAGGCCACCGAGCATGCGCCCACGCACATGCCTTCGGATGCGGACTTGCTGAGATCAGGCATACCCACTGGCCGTACCGGGATCGCTTATCTAGCAGCATGCGAGTGCTCCATTTGCCAGACCCAGTATCGCAACTTCGTCTGCCAGTCCATTGACGAGTACGCATACGTCGGAGAGCGCAAAGACGATGGAGCGCAAGCCCTGCTCACTTCGTACGTCAAGCAGATCATGGAAGACCAAAACTTCATCCGGGCTGAACTGCAGCGACACGGCGATGGACTACTTGATTGGTGGCGAACACGACGTCCCAGTGGTAGAAAGGCCTTTCTTGACCAGGTAGCACCGCAGCTACCGAAGACGAAAGACACACAGGCCGAATATCAGGGCAAGCGGCATACTCCGGAATACGCGGACTTCTTCGACCCTCAAAAGTTGTGGGTGCTTAAGCAAGCTGATAGGAAGAGTAACCGCCACGCATTCTTACTACCCTACCTCACCATACCAACACTCGCCAAGGAATCGTTCACGCTATTCGCTCTCCTGTATACCCGCGCCAATGCGCGACTAGAAGACTGGGCCGCTTTTGACAATGACCAGTTGACTGTCAACTGGAACTGTCCTTTCCTAAATGTTGAGTTCAATCCAGGGTGCGTTGTGCTCTATGGACCAAACTATGGGCAGCTTAAGAAGTGGAACAAGGAATCAGTACACAGGGGCGATTACCTCGGCTTTCCACGTGCGCAGATACTCCTAGAAGCACAGGCTATACTGATGGCGACACTAAGACGCATCTTGGAGAACGCCATCGAGCGCATTCCTCGAAGCCCATCCAAAGTCCTTGATTCGTTCGTCGATTTCGTATCCGTGGGTCGTCTATCCAGCCAGACTAGCACCGCATGGTCTAGCTACGTTCAGCAAACCGTCTTCAGAACCGCCAAGACTCGACCTTCGCGCCAGATTTTCCGACGTGCAAGCCCATATCGAGGACATTGGAGATCAGCTATGGCTCCTCCAGACTGAACCAGTCTATCTTCGCCGGTATCCACGTGTAATCGGCCAGACGTCCGCGATCCACGCGTTCGAGAGCTCCGATTGGCCTACTAAAGTGCTTCTCATGGAGATCAAGACTCTGTTGGAAGCATGTTGGTTCTGGCAAGGCGTCCTTGTCGAGCTAGAACATGCAAAGGGCATCTACGATCGCTTTCGGGATGCCATTGGACAAGGTTCTGCGCTGCCGACCCAGGTAGAAAGTGCGCTTGGGGCGCTGGAAGCCTTGTTGGAACAAGGCATTGATGTACGCGGAAGGGAGCTTCGTTGTCTCGTTCAGGATCGTCCCGCCTTCTCCGGAATGTACAAGGAGGTAAATGACGAAGCCACCAAGTCGCGTATCACTGGACTTAAGGAAGTATCCGGTAGACCAGAGCCAGCTACCGAATACGACACCCATCGTCTTTGGTGGTGCCTGGGCAATCTGCTCGGCACATACGATACGACAGGCCGTCTACCATATCCACTACTCTTTGGAATTCTTGATGACCATCTCGGGGCTGCTGGCGCGAACGAACGCAAGAAGATGGATAAGATATTGTACGAGCGTTTCTCGGATTTCGCCACAATGCTGAAGCTCTTTGAGGCACTTCGCTTACACCGTCCCACCTATGCGCTACGTGACTCAGAGTGCTGTAAGACCACGGAAGATCGCCTCGGATGGAGACGTATGCGTCTAGCAAATCACATCCATTCCTCTCCTGATAGCGTGCGGCGTACTCTGAAAACTCTTCAGAATACTCAGCCTCCAGCGGGAGGTAAAGGCGTGAAGTGGCTTCAAGCGTTCGATGCCGATCATGCTGCGCTACAAGCATTCTGGCGATCATTGCTCGTCTACTACCGAGGATGGCATACGCGATGTAAGTTTAGTATGGAAGATGTCACGTACTACCTACAGGCCCTGCAATTCTGGGAGAGCGAAGACTATCGCAAGCAGCTTGAAGCCAAGCGTCAGTCCGTCGTCTCCGCTATCGAGAAGCGCGTCGACGTAGGCGATGACATCGCCTTTCTTCCTCTGCCTATCTCAGCGCCCGTCGCCTCTTCGTCGATCACCCACGAGACCAAACAAAAGATCAAGACACGGGGAGCTCAGCCCGTTGGCGAGCTACTTGAAGCAAAGGATCACACCGCTACGAATGATTTGCTCATGCGAATCGAGGTACCGAAGCGTGCGTTTACCATGTTCCGCGCCATGTATCTCGAAACCTTACAGGAGCGCTCTGCTGAGATTGCCTGGGACGCGTTTGTGCTCAGCATGGCTGACGCTGGCTTCTCTTCCCACAACGGCGGTGGCTCGATCGTGATCTTCGAGGAGAAAGCCGGCCTGGGTAAGATCATCTTCCATCGCCCGCATCCGTCGTCGAAGATCGATCCCGTCATGTTTCAGGGTATGGGTCGGCGTATGAATAAGCACTTTGGATGGAGCAGGGAGACGTTCGCTGTAGCTGGTAAGACTGGCAAGGCTGGAGGATAGATGGGTCGAGATGAAGGAGGTTGGGCCTGGTGAGTACAGCTTTGCAAGTAGGATGGACAAGACATGAAAATTGGTGCTGCGGGATTTGTTGGTCCTCAAGACTTCCTGGATGGCTGTTTTGCCGCTGATGCGCTTTCATGCGCTCAATCACGCTGATAGACACCTCTACAGCATACTAAATCCCCTACATGCGCCTACGTAATCATGTATCTTGAACGTATCATGGAATGTTGAGGACTTCGTATACTCGTAATGTTACAAATGTCTTTCGAAATGACTGCGTATACCTACAGGCTACAACCCGACAGACGAAGTCATCATTTCTTGTACTCCCTATTTTGGAGCTGCTGTCTCACAGAAAGCGAGGGGAGAGCAGGACACATGTCGGTAAACTCCGCGAATTTTGAGAAAAGGAAGGAGCGCACATGCCCATTTCGATGTGCATCTTTTTGACAGCGCGGAGGCGACGTATGATCGAGAAGAAAGAAGCAGAAGGTATTGAGCTTTATATAGACGCCCAGGTACTTCAAGTCAAGCTCTCGTCATTCTCTTCTCATCATACCTAATATTCAAGCGTTTTGATAAGGAATGACAAATGACCCAGACGAGCAACGTCATCAACTTGCATTCCGTCATATTTAGGCAACGAGGAACCGCCGCATCCATCAGATTCCCTGCTATCAATTTTGGGAACAGATGGTGTCTGATAAAGTGGATGGGGTTTTTGGAGGAGCAGTCCACATGTACTGGCCACTAGACAATTTTTGAAGTGTGTCGAATCGATCGAGATTGGGGAGCGAGGAGCTGGAGAAGAGCGATCATTCAGACGGTGCATTCGTGGTTTTGAAGCAGCAGCAAACAACGCAAACATAAGTACTTCGCAAGAGTTTTTTTTTTTTGGATTGAAAGAAGGTGGATTGTGATGAAGAAGAGAAAGCAGGCAGAGGAAGGTGGGTTTTATATCCCACCGAAACGCTAATACGCAAATGGCGCAGTGGCTGGAGCGCCGGCAGACAGCACGAGGCAGTTGGTATGATGTTTTGGACAGAAGGTTCTACTCCCCAATCATGCTTTGGTCGTCATGGCTTTTTGACAGATCAACCACATGTTCATTTTAGGTGAGGGCTTTTGAACCGTCGAACCCGTTGCGCGTCGAAGAAGGCGGAACAAAGCAGTCATGTTCTCTACTTTGTGAGCATTATGCAGCACATGCGAAAGTTCTTCCGTGCTTATCAGCGCATATACTGCGAGAAACCAGTTTTGAATATGCCGCGCTGGACAGAGCAGCGACGAACATAGGACCTTTGTCTGTATTTTTGAATGCGGAACACTAATGGGGGCGCTGACCATGAAATGGAAGACAGTGGATTTTGTAATAGCACCGTGGATTCGATGAAGAGAGGAAGAAAGGAGTCGGAAGGTAGTTGATATACGCCATATACCGGACTTCAAAATGGGTCCAGGCAGATACATGGGTTACAAAACGATACAACAGCCCGGAAACATGGTGTTGTAGGCGGTAGGCTTCGGTGAACCCGTCACTCAGACGGCTCATGCGACTAGCCTCAGCGCTTTTGAAGTGCTGTTTCCAATAGATGAAATGACGGCGGGCGAACACATCGAGAGATTGTATGCTATTTTGAGGAGTTGATGGGGTTAGGTGCCGAAGGAACGAGGTGGAACAGCAGTCATCGCCCGAATGTGAATGAATTTTGGAAAAAAGAAGCTTTCGAGGGAACATCGTTCGCTTCACCGGGACTTTTGATAGAGCGGAAAGGAGGAACGAGAGCCATGCATGACCGTCAACCTGGTTTTGGAGAAAGACATCTGGGAGTGGATTGTAAGGAAAAAGGAAGAGAGCAGACAAAGATCTGCCTTTTATACCTGGCGCCGGGGCGGAAGATCAGACGACTGACACCTTCGACGCCTATCTCGTCATCCCACTACATGCATCACCCGCCTCACCCCACATTGTGCAAGCATCACGCCTCGATGACCTCCTTCAGTGCCTTCGCACTCCCCTCCAACTTCCCCTTCTCCTCCTTATCCAACGGCATATGCACCGCCCTCACCACGCCCTTCCTACCCAACACAACCGGCATACTCAAACAAACCCCCAAATCCTCCTGGTACGTACTGACCGGCCGCACAATCTTCTCATCGAAGATGATGGATTTACATATCGACGCCGCGACGCCGCCGATACCGTAGTTCGTCGCGCCCTTGTTCTCAATAATGCTTGTAGCTTTGTTCTTCGTTTCTTCCGCAATGGCGTCCTTATCCAGCAGACCGGATTGCTTGGAAGATAACGCAGAAGACAACGGGACACCGCCGATAGAAGCCAGACTCCAGGCGACGAATTGAGATTCGCCGTGTTCACCCAGGACGTACGCTTCGATGCTGGAGGCTGCGACTTCGGCTTTGGACGCGAGGATACCACGAAGGCGGGCGGAGTCGAGGAAAGTGCCTGAACCAATGACTTGGGATTTCGGAAGACCGGAGTATTGTTGGGCGAAGTAGGTGAGTACGTCAACGGGGTTTGCGACTAGCAGAAGTACGGTATCCTCGCGGAACGGCTTCATATCTGATATTGCGGATTCGAGAATTGATTTGTTGCGGCCGATTAGATCAGTCCTGCTCTCGCCTTTCTTCTGCTTTGCACCGGCAGCAATCACGACGATATCGCACTGTCCCGCCTCTTTGTGCGTACCGGCTCTTATCCGGGTGCTTGTGTTACCGTGGAAGGTGGCATCTGACAAGTCCGCCACTTGAGCGTCTCTGACTTCTTCTTTGGGATCGACGAGCAGGATGTCACCGGCGACGGGGTTCATGATGAGGCTGTACGCAATCGTAGCGCCTACATCGCCGGCGCCGAGGATGGCGATTGAGGAGGTGTTTTTGGGGTCTGACATGCTGGGTGGTAGGTTATGGAATTGTAGAACGATTGTATTGGAATGGAGAGGTGGAGGGGAGTTGGTAGTTGACGGGGCTACTCGGTGGGTTCAGATTTCTTTCTTCTTCTGTAATCTGGTAGTACAAGATATTGAAGTACGTCATCGTGATGGCGCTAGTGCGAAAGCAGTCCGTAGACAGCCGGCTTATCGATACGCTGGTGAGGAAGTCGCGATGGTGGATTACCTGAACATAACCAGCCTCAGCTTTTCATCACAGCCCCCATTCTCTCACACCCCAGTAGTATCATCCTCCCGTGTTGCCCATTCCATTCTCTCACACCCACTCCACGTCGTCCTCCCGTCTCGTGCGACGCGTCGTGGTTCGAGGTAGGCGTTGAGGCTGTTTCTTGACTGTCTTGACTGGCTGGGAGGGCTTAGCAATATATTCCATGACTAAAGCCAAGTAGCAATAACAGTATCACAAAATCCAAGTGCTCAATCAAGTGCTCAAGCTACCTTGGGTGCGGGTGCTGCAGCTGGTGCAACCACCTTCTTCCTCGGCTGTGTAGCCAGACCCTTCTTCAGCAGCAAAGGTATGACGTCCGTCGCTTTATTCCGGCTGATGGTCTTTCGGCAGACGGGACACTGAGAGCGCTTCGTTTCGTGGGGCCCGGTGCGGTTCTCGCCGGCGATGAGGGCTTCCATGAGGCACGTGTGGCAGAAGAGGTGGCCTGGACAATTAGTGAAACACTTGAGATGGCATGGATTGTACTCACCACACGCAGTCGCCGTAAGATCTGTGGGGTTGTCCATGCAGATGACGCAGTTGAACGAGTTGAAGGTAGTGACGGTCTCCTCTGGCTTTGCCTGCGCCTTGACAGCATCCTCGCGCTGCTTCTGCAGAGCCTCTTGCAGCGGCGTCTTCTGCTCCGTCAAGTCGAGCTCTTCAATCTTTTCGGGCTCGGCGCTCTGCTGCTTGACCTCCGCTGCTGATCCGTCGTCCCGCTTCTGGCGCTTCGCTGAGGGGCCCGGGGTGGGCGACTGCGGCTTCCTTCTCCGCGGTGGTGACTCGGGGGCGCTGGTGAGGTCGACGTAGCCATTTGCGAGACGGTCAGGGCGTGAGCCCTGTGGTCGTGCGCGTGTGGCGGGCGGCATCTCTCCGGTGAATGGGCTGTACGGGCGCCAAGCGAAGGGTGAATAGCGTCCGTGATCGAGCCCGGCTGGATTGAGGATGTGGTCGAAGAAGCCGGTGGAGTAGGGCACGGGCGGGGCACGGTAGACGTCGTCAAATTGGCCCTCGTCGGCGGGGGCGCTGTAGTGGCCGAAGAGCTCGCCAAAGTCGAAGGCTTCGGGGGAGTAGTGGTTAGGGGAGTAGTGGTTGTGGTGGTGGCTCTCGGGGGTGTCGAAGTTGGCGTCGTGGAGTGGGTGGGTTATGTCATCGTCGTCCCTGTGAGAGCGGTCGGCCGACATGGTGGCGAGCGCAGGCCGAGGGGGCGGGCAGGTCAGGAAGGGCAACGTGCTCCTTCACCATTTGCGTAGCTGCTGGTCTGGGCATGGTGTCGCAGTCCCGGGGGCTTGGTGACGCAAAAGCAGCGGCCGCCATTCGGCTCGGGCGTGCTATATCATGCATCGCGTAGGGCTGAGGGGAACTGCACCGCGCCAAGAGTCTGCGGGTGAACTAGACACTGAACATGACGACACCGAATTGCAACCTCAACTACGACAATTCAACCCCCCGACGCCATGCAGTGACTGCCGTATTCCAGTCTGACGATGCGCTGTTCATGTCGCTCCCTTGCCGCCCACGCCGCCCGACCGCGACCCGTCCATGCGCAATCACATCTCGCCAACACCTCCAAACGATGTCTCGCCACAGTCCAGTCCACACAGTCGCCCACACAGTCGCCGGATGCAGACGGTAGTAATGCAAGGGGCAGTCTGAGTGGTGCGGCAGCCAATGCGTCTCTGTCAGTCCCCTCGGAAGCCCGCTTCAGTCCCATCGGCGTTCAGCATCTTTCCTCGCACATCCACTCGCAGGTCTTCCCCGGCGCAAGCACCCAACCACCACCAGAACTCGTCGCACTGTCGCAGGACCACCTTAGTCGCCATGACTTACTCGGCAAGAACCAAGACCAGACCCCGCCGGTTGGGTTCGACCTGCCGGAACTACAAGGGGCCAGCCTCGACGAGCATTTCTACAAGCTGGGCATGGACACGGCGGAACCCTATCTGAGTATGGCAAAGAAGCTGGCATGGGCGAATCCTCCACCTAAACCAACCAAATGGGTGCGACGGAGCGGCTGGACCAAGTACAACAGCGACGGCACAACGGAAGCTGTAGATGCGCCCGACGAGACGATGCTCACATTCGATACCGAAGTCATGTGGAAAGTGACGTCGTTTGCTTGCATGGCTTGTGCCGCCAGTCCCACCGCCTGGTATGCCTGGTTATCGCCGTGGCTGCTGGGCGAGACCAAGTCAGATCGCCACCTCATCCCACTCGGCGACACCTCGATACCCCGTGTCATCGTCGGACACAACATTGGATACGACAGGGCTAGGATAGCGGAAGAGTACAATATCGCGCAATCGAAAAACGCGTTCGTCGACACCATGTCCCTCCATGTAGCCTCCAACGGCATGTGCTCACGCCAACGCCCGTCATGGATGAAGAACAGGAAGGATCAGGAGAAGCAGGACAAGGCAGCCACGGACGAGGAGAATGCAGGTCTCTCCACGGTCTTGGCTCCTCCGACTGAGGAAGAGCTGTGGATGGGAAGAAGCGCCATCAACTCCTTACGGGATGTGGCCAAGTTCCATTGCAACATTACACTCGACAAGGCGCAGAGGGAGTACTTTGGTGAGAAAGACCGTGCGGCTGTCAATGATATGCTGGAAGACCTGCTCTCCTATTGTGCTGCTGATGTAGAAATCACGCATCGTGTATATCAAAAGGTTTTTCCGCTGTTCCTCGAAACATGTCCGCATCCTGTTAGTTTTGCCGCATTGCGATTTTTGGCCGCCGAGATCCTACCTGTCAACGAGACGTGGGATGCGTATATCCACAACGCCGAAGCGACATATAAGCAGCTCGACGATGCAGTGAAGGAGCGCTTGGTAGCGTTGACGGAGAAGGCGTTGGAGGTCAAGGATCAGCCGGAGGTGTATGAGAACGATCCCTGGTTGAGCCAATTGGACTGGTCAGGGCAGGAGGTCAAGATGGTCAAGGGGAAGAAGAAGGGCGATCCGCCGAGACCAGCAGCCCGCCAGAAGAAGCCCGGTATGCCGAAGTGGTACAAGGATCTGTTTGCGAAGAACGACGCCCCGATGGCTCTTACGGTCCGCACACGCATCACGCCGATTCTGCTGAAGCTGGCATGGGATGGCAATCCTCTAGTATGGTCGGACATACATGGGTGGACGTACAAGGTCCCCGCGGATGAGGCTTTTGCCTACGACGACAAGGGCTTGAAGGTCTTGGACATGTCTGAGGAAGAGAATATGAAGCTTAGAGATGACAGCGAGTATGTCTACTACAAGATCCCGCACAAGGACGGACCGCTCGCAAGGTGCGCCAACCCACTCGCCAAGGGCTATCTGCAGTACTTCGAGAAGGGTAAGCTGGGGTCGGAGTATGCGTATGCCAAGGAAGCACTGGAGATGAACGCATCTTGTTCGTACTGGATCAGCGCGAGGGAGAGAATCACGAATCAGATGGTCGTCTACAACAAGGAGGTACCTAATCCGCCGAAACTCGTATCTGCGTCCGGTAAAGGCGCGGGGAAGAAGGTCGGCTTCATCCTTCCACAGATCATACCAATGGGCACCGTCACACGGAGATCGGTCGAGAATACCTGGCTCACGGCTAGTAACGCAAAGAAGAATCGTGTTGGGTCAGAGCTGAAGTCGATGGTGCGGGCGCCTCAAGGTTACTGCTTCGTTGGAGCAGATGTCGACTCACAGGAACTCTGGATCGCTAGTCTGATCGGCGACGCGACGTTCAAACTCCACGGTGGTAATGCCGTCGGATTCATGACGCTGGAGGGTACCAAGGCAGCCGGGACAGACTTACACTCTCGGACCGCCGCCATCCTGGGCATATCGCGTAACGACGCCAAAGTCTTCAATTACGGACGTATCTATGGCGCCGGGCTGAAGTTTGCGTCAACACTCCTCCGCCAATTCAACCCTTCATTGTCGGATGAGCAGACCTCCAAGACAGCAGACGACCTCTACAAGAACACCAAAGGAAAGAAGACGAACCGCAAACAACTCCACGAACGAGCCTTTTGGCGCGGCGGTACTGAGTCCTTCGTGTTCAACAAATTGGAAGACTTTGCTGAACAGGAGCGACCCCGCACACCCGTCCTCGGCGCTGCCATCACCGAAGCCCTGCAACGGCGGTATCTATCGAAAGGTGGGTTCATGACGAGTCGAATCAACTGGGCGATCCAGTCTTCCGGTGTCGACTACCTCCACCTCCTCATCGTATCCATGGACTACCTGACCCGTCGATACGGTCTCGACGCTCGTCTAGCTATCACAGTTCACGACGAAATCCGATACCTCGTGAAAGAAGAAGACAGATACAAAGCGGCAATGGCGCTGCAGGTTGCCAATGTATGGACGCGCGCCATGTTCAGCCAGCAGATGGGGATTAATGAGTTGCCCCAATCCTGCGCCTACTTCTCCGCCGTTGACATCGATCACGTCTTGCGAAAAGAGGTGGACATGGATTGCATCACACCTAGCAACAAGGAGAAGATCCCGCATGGTGAGAGTCTGGATATCATGGCGTTGTTGGAGAAAGGCGACGAAGCGCGGCTTGATCCCGCTTTCGTGCCCAGCGAAGCCGATATGCCAACACCGGAGAAGTACGCACACGCCTTCACCCCCCGCACACCCATTATGACTACCCTCTCGCGCGGCGACGCAGTAGGCGATCCCACAGCGATGGCGTATCTCAAAGCGCAGATCTCGTCGAGTGATCAGGAACTCCGCGACATCCTCCGACCCCTCCGCGCAACGCCCGCACCGCGCAGTGCAAGCAGTAGCAAGACGAAGAGCAAGAGTGGAAGTACGGCCGGCAACGAAGTATCAGACATTGAGCAAGAGAATCGCGAGATTCAGAGACAAGTCAGGCAGTTTGAACAAATGGCCAAACAGTCTGCTGCGAGTGATCCTTGGAAAGAGGTGTACAAGCGCGCGAATGCGAGCACGAAAGCTAAGGGGAAGCCGCCAGGCGAGTGGTGGCAAAATGGGTACACGACGCATAATAGGAGTGCGGTCAGGAGTGCGAGGGTGTAGGCTTGGAATGGGAGGATATGATTTATGTTTCTTGTACACTTTTTGTAAGATGTATGTACGGCAAACCCTTCTGGTACGGGATGTATAATGGGTTGGTTGGCTTGGATGGTTGGGCGGCGCGACGTCTTGGTTACTTTGCATAGGTTCGGCGCATCATTCCTTCCATAAATGGACATTTGGTTTGGCGTTCTTCCGATTCCGTCCTCATTCCGCGGTTTCTCGCTAACGAACGAAGGGAGGGACTACATCTTCTCTATACTTGACAACTACCGAATGGCTTATCGAAAACTTTGATGCGCTCGTTCTTCTCATCGACTTCCAACTTCAAAAAGAAACTAAGATCATGCAATGTCTTCCGCCGTCGTTGCTGCAACATTGCCTTACCTGAAACAGCCAGGCATTCGCTGAAATATGGCGTTGGCTCGTGCCTTAGAGCACTATAATTGTCACTCGATGTGTAGAGCGTGCTTCTGTACTTCTTATTTCCTCAAAAATATACCAAAACTTTCACTCCAATTTTCGATGGAGTAAGCGGTGCTCTCTCGGCTTTCAAATCTATTGACCATCTTATATGTTCTTGCGCGTTGGTCGCTGCCGTCGTGCATTGTAAAACCAAAAGAAAAGCGTAAAGCCCAGGACCATGAAAGTAGTCGGTGCTGAAGCGCTATATGTTCTCATGCCAAAGCACAGAAGATCTCTCCACTTCTATCCTCCATTTGCGAAAACTTCAAGATGTCAGGGCAGACATTCATGGGGCCGCTGGCCTTCTCTCGGCATCCAAAACTCTTTAATCAGTTTTGCATGTTGTCGCGAGTTCTCCGCCGTGACAGCGCAGTGCAAGAACAATGCAATTCCGTTGCTCTACATATTTCTAGTAGCACGAAGAGATGGAAACTACGTTTCTCCTCTTTACACGATTCCAAAAACAGCAATCAAAAAGTTAATGAAGTTTGCTGTCCCCTCTCGATTTCTAGAATGAGTTCTTCGGCCGTCTTATGCACCAGCGACTTGCTGCGGTGCAGACAAGGGCGGTACGCCTGCCTCACGGGACAATGTTCAAAAGAAAGATTCCAGAACGTCATGCTTGCGTGTGGTGAAACTCGCACTGTGAGGTGAAGACATGCGGGATTCGAAAAATCACCATGCAGAAACTGATGTGAAGAAAGAGCCCTGGAGCCCATGTTGCATTGATGCGCAAAGTCGAACGCCGTCGACCATTATCCATGTCCTTGGCCGCAGCCCCAAAGTCAAACCAGACATATGCACATATGCATACCGTCCCAGTATCCAACCGAACCAAAAAATAAGAAAACACGATCTATATGCCGCAAGCCAAACAAGCAACCGCAAGATGCCATGCTATGTTACACGCGGTCTATACGTCTATGCCAAAGAGCAGTCGCATGTATAGGTAATGACCGTCATCGTCGGACCGATCGCTCGTCGACGAAGAAGAGGAAGAAGGTGTCGGGGGTATCGCAGAAGTATGTAATTCGTAAGTCATCGCTTAAACGATGAGAAGCTTCTCAACGTTCTCGCCCGCGCTACGCTCGCTCATGCGGTTCCACGCGGCGTAGGTGAGCACACCGCAGGCGGCCCACATGAAGGGGACGGCGGCTTCGGCGCCAGCTAAAGTCTTGTCAGTATACTTTCTTTGTTTCTAATACTTTCTTTTCATGACGTACTTGGACGCTCGGCCTGCGCAGCCATCTCCATGACGCGTGCTGCGCTGCTAGTTGAGCTGGAGGAGTTGGCGCGGATGGTGGCTGGTGCGATGCGCTTGCCGGCGAAGGCAGCGGTTATGGGGACGCGGGTGGCGATGCGTGCGAACATGTTGTTGATGTAGTTTGAGGTTTGAGGATGTGTTATCGAGTCGAAACAGCAGTTTATGTAGCGACAAGTGGCGACGTGAGTAATCTTTGTAATGACACGTATAAGCAAACGATTGTAATCGTCGTAATAAACCCTCTTGAATATGGAGAAAGTGAACGTGCGTGGTTTCGAGTGAATGCGGGGAAGAAAGAGGACACAGACACGGAACACGGTTTATATAAAGAAAGTGGGCCTGGGGAAGGAGTTGACAGGGCTGAAGGGAAAGGAGGCGAGGCCGGAGATGGCGCGAGCAGAAAATTTAGGGGCGGTGAGCGATCCGTGCAGGGATGTGCCAGGTCGAGATAGGCTTGGCCGCCAGCACGTGAGTGGGTCGGGTGCGGAAATAGCAAAACGAGAGTCTGGGGTAGCTGTCACTGTTGGAGGAAGTCACGGCCCTTGCATCACGCGGCCTGAACTCCTGGTAGCAAGTCTCAAAGATGATGCATTCAATGTATTGCGATTGAATGCGACTGAGGTTGAGGCTCTCCGAGTTCCGCTCGGCTCTACTTCGCATCAAGCCGCAAAAGACCCTGCTGATGAGATCGGCACTGCGGCGCATCCCCGGCCTTCTAGACGAATCTACCGAGAATTAACCTGCCTTCGCCACCCCCAGCCTCAACAACATTCCAACAACAATTCTAGCTTACGCTGTCTTATTCCCACGCACTCCAACAGTTTCGTCCTTGCGGTGCAGTCATCACCTTCCGCTGTAATACATACGAAGGCCGTAAACCTTAGTTCGTCACTAACAACGAGTTCATCGGAATTTACTCATTCAGTTCTACAAACTAACTTCCACACGCGATACCGAGCGACAGCCGTCAAATCACAATGTGCGCACACACAGTGTCCATCATCGACTTCTCTCGTTACCATCGGGAAGACACGACAAGTTTCCGCTCATACATTCTTCCATAAGAAGTCTTCAACCTTCCCTTCGCATGCCTTCATGATGATGTCCCACATCATTGCCATTGAGGGTCTATCAGGTTACCATCCCACTGCTTACCATCGGCAGGTTCCCTACTAATGACATCGTACATTGTAAGGCGGACACATGCTATCGCCGAAAGGATACTAACCTTCAGCGCTTCAATCACTTGAACCATTTCGTGAATACGATGGAGCTGCGGCAGCCACATGGCATATCCGACTTCTTTGAAGCGAGCAGCAATCTCGAGCATTATCTTTGTACAAAGATCTAAGACTGCAAAGCAGTTCACCCGAGCTATTGGGAAGTCGCCTTCGTACTCCGGCTGGATTACGTCCTGTGCACGACGAATAAGCTCCGATGGCGGGAAGCTAAGGAAAATGTCGTCTAAGCCTAGGCCCTTATCAATTCTTCGAGCCATCTTAGGATCGCTTGTGAGTTTGACCCAAAGTTCTGGACTGGGCGTGTAGAGGGCGATGAAGCTGTCACATGCCGAACTGCCCATCGTACCCATGGAGATCCGCTGCTTTGCGCAATTAGCATGGCGGGGTTTTTCCTTGGGGCAGTGGTAAGCAATGTGTGCGGTGTATCGTTTGCTTGAAGATCTTCGCTCCACAGATCAGCTCAAAGATGTTGCAAAAGTTCTTCCTTGGATACTGCTTTCCTGTGAATACGACATCCCTGAACAGCCTGCGGAGATGATCAAGGATCGGAATCTCGGGACAACCGCCAATCTGTCGTAACGTATTGTAGAGATGCATCGTCGCACCAAATAGTGCCTGCTCGTGGAGGGTTTGAAGGCCTACGAAGAGCGTGAAATCCGATATTGCGGACATGTAACTCCCCATCACCCAGGGAGATTGCGAGCATAGGTCAAACGTCTTGTCGGATGTGAACGCGATCAACTCCCTTCTGAGTCTCCATGTGAGAGCAGCAATTTCGTCGTGGTAGAGCTTTTCTGAACTACTTTTGTAGGCTTGGTAAAACTGGTCCATAGCGCGAACCACCTCGTTCGCACGGCTCCAGAATATCGAATCTTTGACGCCATGTAGCCCATCTTTGCAATCTTCTGGTCGAAAGAGATCTAGGTACTACATAGAGCTGAACGATTAAGTAAGACGTTTGCGAGGGCACGTATACTCAGATGGAAAATATTGGTAGATCGATGTATTCAACATGTGACACTATGACCGAATCTTGGGACCACTCGCTATGATCACCACACCCAAGCCTCAAATATCCTACCACAAGAAGTCCCCCACCTTTACGTCACCGCAAACCTTGACAATCGCATCGCGCAGTAATACCAATCCCCTTTCCTCTAGCAAGCCTTTCCGCCGACCTGGGTACGTCTGGTCCCAAACATCTACATGCTCTCTGACCTTCTCCAAATACACGATACCACATTCGACATGCTTCCTTTGCATAAATTGCCACGGCATATGGACATGCGCGGGATTCGCTTTGAAGGTGTCCATGAGGAGGTGTATGTAGCCTGGCCAGTTTCTTGGATCGACAGCCTGTGTCGCGACTTCCTTCCAGACGTCGAGTACGAGATCCATAACGGTGAAGAAATCGATGCTTGCGAGTGAGGATGGATCTTCAAACTCCAGCATGATGTGATCTTTTGCGCGAGGTGATTCTATATAAAACATCTTGTTTAGATATCTTATCTTATATTAGATAACTAACTCTAAGTGCTAGAATGCTGTAATAAAGTTCTACCCTCTATTTCTTATCGCTTCTGTTCGCTTCCGCCTACATTCTAGAGCTCTAGTAGAATTCCAGGTAGTTGATTAGAGGTAGGTAGGTAAGTAGATAGATAATTTATCTAAGAACGACCTTCACAAGCAGAGTTCTAAAGTAATAGTTACTTCTATTACCAAACACACTCTACGCAGTCGATCAAAGACCTGTAATACACTTGTGCAGCTAAGCTCTACCTAGTAAGCCCTAAACAAAGGGCAAAACAAGCCCTAATTTCTGCTTATGTTAAGAGTGGTTTCAAACCTCATGCCAATTCCATCTAGCTGCAGCGAGATGGCCTCGAGTTTTACTAGTAGATATCCCAACAGCTAATCCACCAGTCACGTATAGAACCTCCTTTGACTGCCAATAGCCAAGCGCTATCGATGATGCGGATCCAAGGAAAGGAGTATTGGCCGCGATACGCTGAGTTTTGTTTGCAATGTCGACCTCGACAATTTCGTTAGGGCCGTTTGTAGCTATCCAAGCACGCGTGCCATGAGGTGAGATGGCGAAATCGTCTCCGTTGGTGATGTTCGTCGCAAGAATCTCAACCGCGCCAGTAGCAAAGCCAGTTGCAAGGGATATTGGAACTCTAGCAAAGAGCCCTTGATCCAAGCTGGAAAAATATAGAGCATCGCCGTGAACGTGAATGCCATTTATTCCGACATGTAGACCTTTAGGCAAAGGATCAAACTCTGGCTCTTCCAGAACGATCTTGTAATCTCCGGTCTTGACGTTTAGTTTGTATACAGCACCGTTCGCCGAGTCGGAAATCAACAGGTTGGAGGTATCATTCGTAGACAAGCCAGTCAGGCCGTTGAGTTGTCGTGCTGTACATAACTCCTGGATAAGAGAAATCTGGGCTGGCTGAGAGATCTCGCCAGAAGGTGCAATGGTGACGTTGCGCAGGTCAATCTCCCAGATAGAGTTCGAACAGGTAGTCCCAGTCATGTTGGAGGAGATGACGTAAAACAAATCCCTCTGTAGCTCGGTAATACCTAATATACCTGTGAATGTGGGTATTCTGGCGATAGGTATAGGCAGATAGCTAGCGTTTGGCGAGATTTGGTGTAGCCAGGGAGAGACAACAGACGTGACAAGGACTTCGCCATTCTTTCGGACAGCGAGGTTTTCGAAAGTAGGAATGGTTGGGATGATATCAACAAGCGTGACGTCGAAGTTTAATTGGGTTCCACACCGGTCTGTTGGTAGACACGTTGCCAATGCTCCTCCCAAAAGCAGAACAGCCAGCTTTCGCGATAGCATAGTTATTGAAAGGTAGAGAGAAGACAATCGTAGCTTTGTTATCTTGAGGAAGAGCGGATTATAAATATATATATTGGTGATCCGGAATGAGTTCCACAGTAGGACATAGCCCGCAGACGAATATCTATGCAAGATCATATCCTAATTTCTTCTCGGAATTTAGGGCACCTTAAGGCCGCTCGGGATTAAAGTGCACGACCAACGTAATAACTTCCTCATTACGTACCGCGCGGGCAAGCCGATCACTTGAATGAGCTAACCAACACTGCCAAGATCACATCTGACGTTACACATCTCGCGATATGTTCATGCAAGAAGCGTAAGAGCGTTCAAAAAAAGCAGAGCAGCTTATTCTTCTACCTATCAAAGGCGGGCTACATGGTTTCATAAGCCTTTTCGAACCATGCTTATCCGCGACTTGCAAAGGGCTCTTCATATTATGATCACAATCTCAAACTCACGAAGCCGACAGGCACTAAGGAAAAGGTGCTTTCTCAGCATACAATAGAGCCAGATCGGCGTTCTTTGAGATTTACAACTCACTTTTCGGTAATGATTCACGCTATGATAGTGTTCAAAAGTGGCCAATGAGGAATGCAGAAGATGACGCCGCAGCCCACTAGACGCGACGCTACCCGTAAGCGAACTTACGAGAGCGAGAACGGTGTTCGCGAGAGCGAGAACGATGTTCGCGCAGTATAGTAATCCGCCAGTTCCCAAAAGAACGATTGCAGTAACATCATGACATACCTAATCCACAATTGAAGCATCGCCGTTATGCAAGCCGAGGCCTTACTCTACACTCTGTCTAGTCCATCATGCTCTTGGGAGGTTTTCACTCTCTCTGGCTGGAATTATCACTTTGATTTCTGGTGTTTTAACCCGTCTCTCTGCTGTCATTGCCTTCTTTGTAAGTATGTTCTTGCCGTGCATTCTTTATTTTCCCCTTTCTAAGGTCTAGCGCTTGACTATGACATGTGAATTGGCTGACCTGGGCTAAGACTTGGGTCCCTTAGCAGTATCTGCTGGTAATTAAGTAGAATTTTCTTCTTTGGCTCTCGTAGCACGGCGATTGAACGGTGATTAGAAGCTACCACATCTATGCTCGAAGCTCCGGAGATAAGGTTAGTTAGCTCCGGTCACATGTAGAGCCGACTCCCGCCTAGCCGTTCATACATATCCATGCACTTCTTAAGTACCCTTTAGACTTCTCTTAATCTTAGATAGACCGTTCTACTCGTTCCTAAATCACATTACGACGCAAAGCATATTCAATAACAATGGCCTTCCCACCCTACACGAAGAGATTCCACACAGCCACCTATCCCAGTATCGACCCTTCTCGCCCTGATCTCTCCACGGCAGGAAAGGTTGTTCTCATCACAGGTGGTGGTTCTGGTATTGGACCCCGCATAGCCCATGCATTTGCGACTTCTGGATGTATGAAGATCGCTATTGTTGGACGGACTGTTGCCAGCCTCGAGAAGACCAAGCAAGAGATAGAGGGAGCCCATGCAGGCGTGACAGTCCATGCCGAAGCTGCTGATATTGCCGATGCCAACGCGGTCAACAAAGCATTTGAGAGCGCCTCGAAAGCCTTGGGCAAGATCCACATAGTCATTGGTAACGCAGGTTACTTACCCGACACGAAGCCTATCGCGCAAGCAGATCCTGAGGAATGGTTCAAGGGGATGACAATCAATGTCAAAGGAACTCTTAACCTTGCCAAAGCTTTCCTCAACTACGCCGCCGAGAAACCGACATTCGTACATGTCTCAACTGGTGGTTGTCACATTGAGCCCATGCCTGCAAACAGTGGGTACGCAGTAAGCAAATTGGCAGCCGCTAGGTTGATGGAATATTTTGCTTTCGAGAACCCGCAGGTCCGGGTTCATAATATTCACCCGGGGGTTATCAAGACAGACATGTACCAGAAAAGCTCCGAGGGTGGTATGGATTTCCAATTTGATGACAGTAAGTTGTCCGATCGTCTACTGTATTTGTATAATTGAGCGGAAACTGTGCTAACACGCAATGTAGTCGAACTACCAGCTTCCTTCGCGGTCTGGATTGTCAGTCCAGAGGCAGAATTTTTGAGTGGCAAATTTGTCTGGTCAAACTGGGACGTGGACAAGTTGAAGGCCAAAAAGAAGCAGCTCCAGTCCTCGCAGGACCTTACGCTTGGTCTCCTGGGATGGCCTTAGATGCGATTGGATCATATGGATCACATTGTACAACGTGATTCATAAGCGAGCGGGCACCACAATACCATCGCAGCGCACGCGTAGCAACGTAGCACAATACTACAGGATTATTTAGAAATGTCTCTGTTATTTGCATCCTCTATTTCTACCCTACAGGTGCGGGAGTTGTGCCCAACCTCGCTGCAACGGCCGTAGCGCCTCTTAACACGCACCCTCTTCGCAAGCGTCTCGCCGCCCTCACGCCTATCACCGTCCTTTTTAGCAATCAAGGCAGATACTTCACCAACTTTTAAATCCCCTCTACGCGTACGTACCCCCTTTTGCGAGTCTTGCGCCTTGTAAGCGTGTCAACAGCGTCTCGAAGGCGGCTCATTTCCTCCTGCACTAACACCATATCATGAGCGATCTGCTGAGCGCCTTTACTTAGCTGATCAACCTGCTCATTCAATGAACTTAGTGGTGACCCTTGATGGTTTTACATGCGATTTCGAATTAGCATAAATTGCGCCTCCATCTCGCGGGCGTTCCGCGGTGTTTGCGCAGCTTACTGATAGAACACGTTAATCGAGGTCTAAGATCTACTGTACGAGAGACTGCTCCTCAATAATGGACAGCTTCTGTTTCCGAGCGTTAGCAGTCGCTTGTGGTAGGCTCCCATCGATGCGTTCTTAGAGAATACAGGGAGGAGTGTTACATAGTTTCGCCACCTTGTAGACGCGTAATCTTCTATTGTTTCTGAAAATAAATGTAGATTTGCGCTAGCTACTATGGCGATTAAGACGATAGGGGACGTCGTTTTCGTAGCGTTGTTATCGTTGTGTAGAGAGTCACGTTAATTTTGGTGGGGCTGGCGGATAAGTGGTGGGACACGTGAGTAAGCGCGTGGGACTAGCAGTTAGATGCTCTTGTGAAGTGCGGAGTAAGTCAACTGTCAGTTCGGGGTGCTCGGACATCTCGAAGACGCGAGAAGGCCGATAGGTTGAGATGGATCAAACAAGTGCCCAGCCAAGGCCGGACAAGTGTGAGAATACAACGAGCTAGCATTTTACCAAGCCTTTAGTCGCAGGAGTGAGAGCGAGAGCGAGAGCGAGAGTCGATGGACTGTAAGAGCATTACCACCAGCGAAAGATTGATTCCTTGTGTCACTTTATTTGACGCTTAGCTCACCTGTGCGGTTGAATACACGCTCAGTTGGAACCAGGCGAGCTCGGCACGCCGAAGGCCCGAAGACGCGAGAAGTGAGGCAATGTTCAGGTTTAACAGTTCACAGTAAACTAAAGTGTAATCAGAATTTGAGACAACACTATACATATATTGCATTGCTGCTCAAGCGTATAGCTTCAAGCATCGCCTAGGACACTTGTCCTCTGACTAAAGTACAATTGTTTATTCTCACTCCTTTTTAAACCCGCACCCCCTTTCATCCAATTAGTCGGCATGGGGTCTCAAGTCCAAACAGATATCTTGATCATCGGAGCTGGGCCGGCTGGAGCAGCTTTGGCATCTTTCTTAGGCCAAAATGGTATTAAATATCTCTAATCTTAAGGTTATCGGATGACTACTGACCCACAGATGGTAGGGCTAAGCGGGCTCCTGATATCGAAAGATTCTTCTACTGCTTTTACACCAAGAGCTCACGGATTCAATCCTTTTGCTTTCGGTAAGATAGCCCTAGAGGTGTTCCATATGCCGAAACATGACTTATTCATCTAGAATGTCTCCGCGACATCGATCTTGAGGATGAAGGGTTGCGACTGGCAATTCGTGGCTCTACTCCTCTATCCATGCGATTTTCCCGAAACTTGATTGGAGAAAAAGAGTACGGGAGAGTCCTGGCATGGCAGGAGCTTCCAGTCAGTGCGGTAAGCTTAACACAATACCGACTAGTTGGAAGGGGGCTTGTCGACTAACCGCTGCTATAAACAGGGTCGAGTAAAGGAAACGACTCCATGCGAATACGTTGACTTGACTCAACGCCACATCGAACCACTTCTCCTCCGCTATGCCTCTCATCACAACTTCAAACATCGCTTCTCGACAGAACTTACAAAGGTAGAGCGTATCAGTGACGATCTTGGTATAGGACACCTCTGTGCTGTTGAAGATCACATAACAAACCAGCACTTCAACATCCGCACCAAATATCTTTTCGGGGCAGATGGGGGGCGAAGCCAGATAGCTCGTTCCTTCAATTTCAACTTCTCGATCACTCCAGGGGGCCCCAAGGCTTGCAATGTTCTAATTCGCGCAGAACTCGGTCATCTCTTGAAGGAGAAGCAGTACGCTGGCCTCCATTGGATGATCAAGCCCGACCGCAAGACCTTCCCTGGAGTCGTTGCTCACCTGCGCATGGTTCGGCCATGGAACGAATGGGTCATGGTTGCTTTTGGACCTGGCGGCACGAATCCATTCGAAGGACTTACTACAGAGAGCCCTGAGCTTGTTGATTGTTTCCGAGAGCTTGTCGGAGACGAGAACATCGATGTCAAGGTCCTGCAGATTGACCCTTGGACCGTCCGCGAAGCTGTTGCAAACGAATACTCAAACAGCGAAAAGAACGTCTTCCTGTTGGGTGACGCAGCTCACCGTCACCCTCCCACATTTGGCTTGGGGAGCAACACTTGCATTCAAGATGCGTACAACCTAGCATGGAAAGTTGCGTATGTCGCAAAGGGCTTAGCTGGCCCCGATCTCTTGGAGTCGTATAGCACGGAGCGGCAACCGGTCGGCGCAAAGCTCGTGCGCGAGTCCAACAACCAAATACGCGCCAATTCCCAAATATGGGAGGCGCTGGGAATGACCGCTTCGCCCGAAGAAGGAGTTAAGCAGCTGGAAGAGTTGACGCAGGCGACCGCTGCAGGCTCAGCTCGTCGAGCGCGGCTCCAAGAGGCTTTAGAGCAAAAGAGGCAGGAGTTAGAAAGCCTCGGAATGGCCTACAATCAGTGGTATATCTCGGATGCTGTATACTTGGACGACGAGGACAGCCCCAGGCCTACCTTGGAGGGCGACCCCATCGTGGAGGCTCAGATCAGCACATATCCCGGCAGTCGACTACCTCATGTCTGGCTCGATGGTGCGTCGCGCCATACATTGGAATCAACACTTGATCTCGCTGGGAAAGGCTCCTTTTGCTTGCTGGTTGGAGTTGGTGGGCAAGCTTGGAGGGTTGCGGCGGAAAACATTGGTAAAGCCACGGGCATTCCAGTGGTCAGCTATGGCATCGGGCATGGCTTAGAATATACTGATATCCGCCGCGACTGGCATCGGAAGAGTGGAGTGGGAGAGACCGGGTGTGTTTTGGTTCGGCCTGATAGATTCGTCGCTTGGAGGTCTGTTGAACAGCCCAACGACTGTGAGAAAAAGCTAAGGCAGGTACTCGATAAGATCTTGTCCAAGTCAAACCTGTAGCTTAGTACACTCTATTCAATAGTACATGAAGAGGCCAATAACAGCAGATGTATCGTTTAAGTCGATAACCCTTGACAGCAATTTCGCAATATTCTCTCCAGAATGTGGGCCTTTTAGAAGTGGGAGGTCAAGAAGGGCTGTTTGCAACAAACCATTGTAGGTGCCTCACTGCAGCGCAATTTCACGCATCGATTAGGGGCCTCCGCCAGAGCGATACCATCAGTGCAAAAGCTGGGGTGGCGACTGGATACGCCAACTGAGCCCTCCGTGGAACGAAGTTGACTCCCCAGACGCGCTAGCCCACATGCGGACCACCACACAGCGATTCTCCTCAGACATGGGCGGTGTCAGCAAATAACACCCATATTCCGTCGCTAATCCGAATGTGTTAATGGCGAAAGGTGGTTTCCGAGGGTGCGCTGTGCGAAGAAGCCGCTCAAATTTCGCGCACGCCTGCAAACGTCATCGACAGGAGAGCAGTACAGCAATCGCCATCGCCATCGCGACGGCCCAATGTCAGCAAACGACCCTGATAATCTATGGAAGATACGAATGCGGCAACGCCGATAGATGACTTCCGAGGGTCGCTGTGCGAGGATGCGGCTCAGGTTCTTCGCTCCGGCAGACGTCACTGAGGGAAGCAGAGGCGCACTGGGGAGGAAGTCGCGACAGTGAACACCTCATGCAACTCTAGACCAACGAGTTCAAGCAACATTATGACCATGTAATGAATTAATATCTGACATACTCATCAGCCACTTTCTCCCACGAACATCAGAGAAAGAATACCTATACACAGACTCCGCCCAATGCTTAGGCAGTCGAATACCTGTCCAGCGCGCAACAGTCCCACCACTAAACCCCATTTCCTACCCTGACCCATTATCACCCATGTCATTTCATCAACACCCTCTCGTCCCTCATTATGACTTCCCACCCTTCCGTTGCTTAACCCTCGACCCAATACTATCACTTCCACTGCTCATCCCCGGCACGCCATTCGCCGGCGTACTCGGCGCCTCCTCAATCCTCTCCAAATCCTTCTCAACCTCCAGATCCTCCTTGATCAACTTTTCCTTCTCCTCCGTCTCCTCATCTGTCGGCGCGTACTCGCTACGGTCATCATCCGCATCCTTGTATACGACAAAACGGTATGCGATCCTGCAGATGAAGAACCACCAGAAGAGGTTGACGGCCTGCAGTGACGCCAGCAGAGCGAAGGTAATGTATTGACTGATCCAGCACTTGTATTGTTGCGTTTCCCAATTCAGCTCAAACGGACCGACGGTCTTGAAGGTAGTGAGGATGGAGTAGATGATCTTGAGGTTGATGTAGTGGCGTGTGTAGCCCCAGATGACCATGAAGACGAAGAAGTAGGGGCCGACGATAGGAGAGTCGATGTAGTTTAGGCATTTGGAGGTCTGACCATGTTAGTGAGCCAATCTTGAAGTTGGTGAGAACTTCGACTTACAGCCAAGAAAAAATCCGATACATCATGCGTGATGTACACCGCAATCCCCATGTACGTAAAATGAAACCTGTAGCTCAACCAGATCAAGCTGACAGTAATAACATGATGCGCAACCAACTCCTTAAAGTCCTTCCTCGGCTTCTCCAGCATAAGCAACAGCACAATCGCCTGCTGCGCCCAGTAACTCGCTTGCAGCAAATAGTACGCCTTGACAACAGCCTCGTGCGTGCGGTGTGGGAAACCCTCATACATCCCAATAGGATTGAAGTACCACACCGGCGTGCGACTCATGATCCAGATGCCAAACGGCCCGTACAGCGCAAAATACAGCGCCGTGTACGCCTGCTCCATGAACCTGCTCTGTTTATCCCTGTTCTTGATCCCAAGCTTTATCGCAATCGGGCGAATGAGTCGCTGCATGCAGAACTCGCGCGTGAAGCTCAGCACGATGATGTAGAAGCCGACGAAAGCAAAGTCGCGCCCGCCTTTGCCGTAGTGAACTGGGCCATTGGGATCCGCGCGGACGTGGGCGGGGATGAGCGGGTCGTCGCGTGCGAGCGGGTACGACAGGAAGAGGCAGGCGGACAGCGGATTTGACTCGTAGGGGTAGATGAGGTAGAGGAACACGATTGTGAGGCCGAGGATGAGCGGCAGCAGCCAGGTATGGCGGATGCATTGGCGCTTGAATTTGGAGAGGTAGCGGCGTGTTGTTCGTCGTTTGGAGCGGCGGGCGGATTTCTCTGGTTTCTATAGGATCTTGTCAGCGCGTGCCCTGCATACCCTGGATGAGGGTCGAAAAAGCACTCACCGAGTCCATGCTCGTCGGACTGTTCAGCGGCGGGGTGCTCGTGCGGTGTGTAGCCAACGCTGGGACGTCGACATCGCCAGGTACATCGGAACCAAGCGCACTAGACTTTCTTCTCCGCCTGGCTGCGCCGTTCGTTGCTGTATTGTGTGGCAGTGCGCCGTTGAGGGGAGGAAACGGTTCCGTCATTGTGAGGTTGAGGAGAAGCGGAACGCGGAAGACGGGTCGGTAGTCGCAATACCTTGTCTGTTGTTAAGGATAAACAAAACACCTCCCAGACGACGTAGAAGAAGCTCCGAAGAAGAGCCTGCAGCAGAAGATATAAAGCGGCTGAGATATAAAAGCGGATGCGTTGCTTCTCCTTTCTCTGGCTTTCCCGAGGCTCGCCGCAAGTCAGGTCTCGCTGGCTCGACGTCCCAAGCAATTTCCGACCGGTGGAGTGGAGCCCTTGGCTTTCCGTAGCGCGTCGATCTGCTGTGAGCGAATGCCAGGGGTACGACTTATGTCAGCGGCGTACTCGCTTAAACTACTGTTTAGAAATGCTGGAGAACGCGATGCGACGTGAATGATGATGCGAAATGCTTTTTGGACCCTGATGGAGGTGCGGCCCGGGTCTCTTCCGCGGTCCGACAGAAAGACAACAGGAGCGTGCGTAACAGGTGCATGGAACTAGCAATCGACTACGGGGTCATAGGACGGGCAGCAACCCGGACCAAAAGCAACGGTGCTCTCGAAGCTCATATTATTGACTATTGGTGTCTACATCTACATGGCTGCACTCACTCACCAAACCAGTTAGACCAGACCTGTCATACCGACGAACATACATTTCCGCTTATGCCGCTATGTTGCTATGCTGCAGGTCTTAGTCTGCTCCCTGCATGACCATGTATCTGAGTCGGCGCACCATTTGCTTTTATCTCCAATCTCTTCCCCGCAATCTCAAGATTCTTCTTCAATTCAGTCGTGGGTGTGCCAACGCTGCTTGCTGTCACTGTGCTGTCCATGCTTCCTTTTCTAGAAAGAACACCATCCTGCCGCAACAAGCCTTTGATGCCGCCCGCCTTCCGCGCTGGAAGCTCGCCCTTCCCTGCAGTAGCGACGTAAAGGAGGTACTTCAGATTCGGTAATGTGTGGCGGATATCGACCGGGCGCAGGCCGAGAGAGTTGGACAGGATTTCGATGTTCTTGTTGAGGAGGAAGACGCCGTACTCGAAGCGATACCTGACAACATTCTTCATGTAGAGAGGGTAAGTGCGTTGAGGGTTCTGATTAGCCTGCGTGACAGCGAGTGGATCGTCAATGGTCGATGTCGAGCCGTGGGGCGATATTGGATACGGTAGTATGACGGACAGATAGGGCGAAAGTGAGTTGACGACTTGCGCGACGTAACCTAACGCTGCCGAGGTCACGTCCGGATTTACCTCGTCGAAATTGGAGTTGGGTAAGAGGAGACCTCGTATCGTGAAGGCGAGTGCTTTGCCCTGAACAGGCTCGATCGGGAATATCCTGAGGAGATCTTCGCAGACTCTCCGCCGTTGGCCAGTAATGTCCTCGCTAGCTTTCTCTATAAGTTCTTTACTCTCAGTGCACTTTGCTCGTTCTTCATCAAGTGCGGCCTCGGCTTTCACTTGCAACTCCCGCCCCGCCTGCATCTTCTCTCGTCGATATTTGATGTTGGCTTCAAGCTCGTCCCGCCGCCTCCTCGCAGCCACCACCCTTCGCTTCTCAGCAGTCACCGCAGCCTGGACGGTGCGCAGACTTTCCTCCGTCTCGGGGACTGCCTCGACCGTGCAGATATCCTCCTTGTTCGCCGCAAGTATGCCCTCGATTTCGTCGGCGATCCGGTCTCGCGTAGTCAGCGCATCCTGAATGCAGTCATCTAGGGTCGATAGCCGCATCAGCGCATCGTATGACGACGACGTAAGGGCTTTTCCGTCTGGGTTGTTCTTCGGCGGTGCGAGAAGTTCAGGGCGCATTCGCTCCTCTACCGGCAGATCCGTAAAGCTAGTGTAGATTCCGTCCGTCATGTGGAAGAGTATGCAGTTCTGCGGAAGTGGGTGTCTGAAGCTTCCAACCGTCCTGCCTATAAACTGCAGCGACCTGAACTGCACGGTGTAGTCCATGAGGTACTGCCAGTCCTGCATCGTTTCGCTCTTCGCCCACACCCTCACAGTAAGTTTGTCGACTCGCGTGACACCAGGACCACAGGGTCCGAGATCGAAGAACTTGAAGTTTGGATTCATCGCCTTCTCCGCGACCTCTGAAATGTATACCGGGTCGTCCTGGTCCTCCACGTGCAGGCTGAAGAAGGTATCCGCCATGCGCCCCGCGGTAATGTCTTCCAGCTTCTTCTGGCGGAACAGCGGAGTCGCATTGGTCCATTCCATAGTCGAGCGCCGTCGCAGTCCCCTTCCATATCCGGGTCTGGTCGCCGTGTTCGGGGTGGGTTCGCGCAAGCCGCCATTGCTGCGCCGCGTGTCCTCGGGAGAGGTGAGGTCGCTCGAAGATCGCGAATGCGCCAGGCCTCTGCTCTCTCTCATCGCCAGCGCCTTGGTGGGCGACTTGAGCGTACTCGGTATAGCTTCATCGTCGATGGTCCGCCCGCGCGACTTTGGGGGGGATAAGCTGAGCGTGAGGTTGCGGATGGTGATGCCTTGGAGGTGTCTGAGCTTGCGATTCTGGCAGACTATCAGCGACTACAACCCTTGTATTCTCGACGCGCATACATATGCAAGCAGCCACGGGCGCTCACGTGGTGGAGACTTGGGCTCGGCTGCCTGGGATGCCTCTCCAGCCATTACGTCGCTAATCTGGTTGGTAGGCAGGGGCGGGGACGGGATATTATAAAGAAACGTATCATTGAGGCATTGCTATAAGTTAGATCAAGCGCCCGAGCAATCGCAATGACGCAGCGCATAGTAAAGCTTGCTGGGTGAACGCGTGTTTGGAGTTCCCAGCTGTTGTATTGGATCAAGCGGACCTCCGCGGCCTGGCCCGTGCTTTTTGAGACTCGCAACTTTCATCCACCACCATCGCCGGCGGCCATTGGCATCACCACCCGCCGCCATGCCTCGAACTCTTGCCCGGCTGCGGTACAAGCCGCCGCTACAGCCCATCTCACTCGCCAGTCCCACCGCCGCCAGCCGCGTCACCCCTCAGCATGTTGCGCATATGCAAAAGCAAATAGCCGCATATGTTGAAAGGCAGTCAAATCCGCAGCACCTCCGCCTCCAGACCGTCGTAAGCGAAAAGGCGAGACGACAAGCGACCGCTCAGCATGTAATCTCACCGGTCAAGCCCTACACTCTTCGTGACGTGGTGGACCCGGAAGGCACTGCCAAGCACGGCGAGATCATCTACATTTTCCGCAACACCAAGTCGAATCAAATCATCTACTCGCTGCAGGAACTATTGGATGTATGAAAACATACCAATTGCTTGATCCTTGCTAATGTTGTAGAACCACCACCTCGAACAACTTCCCTTCATTGGCAAGCACTCGAAGCCGCCCGCCCTGCGTCCAGACGAATGGGTACCCCACTGCGTCCTCACCTTTCCCACCCCCAGCCAAGGCCAGAATGCCTTCCGCAAGCTACGCGAATTCCGCAGACTGCACGAGACCGCCTGGGACAAGACGAACCCCGAGTTCAAGCGCATGGACAAGAAGACAAGGGTCAAGAAGATCATGGACCAGCGCGCCAACACTAGCGCCGACTTGGCCGAGGTGCTACGGATACAAGAGACGCATGGAGCCAAGACGGCGGAAGAGCAGGCAGAGCAGGAGAAGAAGGTATCGACTTTCCTCGACAAGCGGTGGGAGCAGATTGACGCCCTGGCAAATGCGGGGCTGGCCAAGGCGAAGCCCACGGATAACATCAAGTGGCTGCAGGGCCAAATACGGTCCATGGATCACAAGCTGAAGATGAAGCACCACCAGAACGAGGCCGATCAGAAGAGCATAAAGGCTGCCAAGGAGAGCCTCGAGACCCGCCTGGGGAAGCTGCAGTACGCTCTGCGAAAAGCGGAACAGTTCAAGAACCTACAAGAAGATCTCACCAAGAGAGCGGCGCCCGCCAACGAGCTCGGTGCTGAGACGAAGTTGTATGAACTGAAAGTCCAGGCCCGCGCCCTGCAGGAGGCGCTCGACAACCCCGATCCTACACGTTCCGAGGCAGACCTTGAGCTTGATCGCGAAATCCTCGCGGGTCATCGCGCAGAGATCACCACCCTCGAGCAGGCTTTCGAAGCAAAAGCCCAGGCTGGATCCCGCGACCACTACATCGCCCGCTCCGTCCTGCCCAAAGCTCTCAAGACACCGCCCGTCAAGCCCTACACGCTGGAAGGTGTGAGCGTGAGGTGGGCCGACATTCAAGACGCCCTCTACGCAGCCGGCAAGTGGCCCGCAGCCATCGAACACGAGCCTCTGGAGATCAACAAGGCGCGCGGCGAGACGTTGATGCTTTCTGCCGAGGAGTACGAGGTTGAGAAGCAGAATGAGGTTGGAAGAATTATGGATACGCTGAATCTGAGGGAGGGCGAGTATCTGGAAGAGAAGGATGGGCTGAAGAGCTCGTTTGATAGCCCGGCACTGAAGAGTGGTATTGCCATGTCGATACCGCGGGATGCTTTCAAGAGCGCGACTGTGTAGGATGGGGTGTATAGTATGTAACAAACTAACTTGTATATGTACTTGTACTCACACGTTGCCTTGCTGGTGAAATGCCTTTCTTCCATAGGGTATATGATTTACTGATGTGACGGTCAGCTGGAATGACCTTCAGAACGGGTGTAGATACAAGTTTGGAAACGCATTCTCATCATACTGAATGCAGTCTGAGGGCTATGTGCATTCATCACATCACTAGAGGATGACAGAACATGTGTCTTGCCATCTACATCGACGCCTATACACACAAAGTCACTTCCGATGTTCGGAGTTCAAAAATACATTGCTTTATGTACTGTCCTTGGCACAAGGATTTGACACTGCGTATGCAGCAATGTACCACGAAAACTCCTTTATCCTCCATTGACATTTCGATGTCGCCATGACTGCCCGCAAGCATTGACGCTAATATCACTTTTCTCACGCAGCTCATGGTAATGAGATGACTGCACCGTGCAATGTTGGTATATAACCGACACCGTGTCCCATCAAAGCCTGCCCGAATGCCGTGCTTGCAGCCGAGGCTGAAGCCCTTCCATCTTAGCAGTTCGTAACATGCCTCCCACTACAACTCATAACAGTCCTCGGAAGACCCTGAGCACGTCGTGAAAGAGCTGAATGCACCGTGCAATGCTCACCTAGTCCTCTTCCATCATGTCCTCGTCGTCACTCTGCTCCTCCACAAGACTCTTGATGGCCGACTTCAGCTCCTCCATGTACGGCTCCATCTTCGTGATGACCCCATTGCACTTCGCCATGATCTCTTTTGCTGCATACTGGACCGCTTGTATGATCAAGTGTTTGGCGGGCTCGTCACGGGCTGGCTGTGATATGTTTCCCAATAGCTGTACCACATTGGCATTGTAGACGGCAGCGCCGTAGCGTTGCATGACTGCCACTGGTATGTTGCCGTGTATATCGACCATGAAGTCTACCAGTTCAAGATGGTTCCGGAGCCATGAGCGTAGGTCTTCAGGCGCTTCCCTGATATGTGATGACGGTGGCAAGGCATTCTCGTCAGTGAACAAGCGCCGAAGTGCACTCCGCTCTTCCCAGGTATTGACAATGCTCCCAGCGATCGGCTGACTACCTGCACAAAGCACGACTTCGAGCAGATATACGCCTAAGCCGTCTCGGAGATCGCTGTAGGTTTGGAAGGTCTGGCTCCGGCGCAAGTCGGCCGCGTACTTAAGCAAGTTCTGTGATGTGAGAGTACCCGTTGCCATCAAGTTCGGGAACATGTTCTGGGTGGATTAGCAAGCTTTACACCGTGCATAACTTCCAAAACGTACCGTCATCCAGAGGTGAGCCTCTTGGGCGTCGGCTTCTTTGAATGTAGCGTTGATATCCAGAAGGCGATAGATGGCGATGACCTGCGGTACGGTCGCACTTCTTATCTCTTCGTCTGTCTCTGTGATGGCGCGTGCGATCTCATCAAGCATCCACTCCTCTGCCGCGACGGCAAAGCGGTTGATCATAGCGATGACATCCAACGGGACGTTCATGCCCGCAGTCATGTAGTCTCTGATGACGTGTCCCCAGCCTTTCGCTCGGCCACCGTAGGTAGACACAGAGTCATCCCGGTACGCATGGAAGAAGAAGCAATCAGCAGCATTTACGGTTCGTGCTACGCATAGCTAGAAGTGTCAGTTTAGACGGTGCATTAGTGTGTTGTAAGCTTACCTTTGTCACCGGATCGCGATTGACGAGCTCAAAGTACGTCAGTTTCTTGTCGGCACGCTTGGTGTTGTATTTGACCACAACTCTCGTCATGTCGGCCTCTAGCGGCCAGATTGGAAGAGCGCTCAACTCTGAAAGGGAGTCGACTGATCTGGATGTCATGTTTTTAGTCTTCTTGATCCTGCCCTTAATCTCGGCAAGGGCTGTCTGTGTCTCGGTGTCGTCGCCGACGGGTTCGGGATCGTGTTGGCGTAGGACACCACCTCTAGCTGGCCGGAGCCCGACCCAGAGACCTAGATCTTCCTCGTGGTTAGCAGAAGTAATGTCTTCTTCTTCGTGCAATGTATTCGCGGCATTGCCGACTTTGCGTTCTGTCCGGTCTGCTGATGAGCTCCAATGTTGTACTCGGAGCAAGACGTGATCGTCCTTGGGTGGTGATTGAATGCCGTAGAGTGCGTAGCTGAAGGCATGATCGCGCCGGTAGTCGATATCTGAAGCCATGTTTTCGCGAAGGCGCTTGCAAGCGCAGTGGAAGGAGGACGAAGAGGAAGTCAGTGTTGGAGTAGATCTTTATACATGTCCTAGCGTCCCCACTAGTGTCTGCCACAACAATCCGCCTTCACCTTCACTTTTGCGTCCGCCCGCTAAGATGCCTTGCGGAAGAAAGGCGGATCGGTAAGATGTAGACCTCAAATTGGTGAGCTTACTGGAGGGATAGAAAGTAGTTGTGCTTGCACCGTCTATTATTCCCGTACCTTGAGTTCGATCGAGACCGTTGCACTGGCCAGGACAATACATTCCCGCCCTGAGCTCATACCAATGAAAACCACTCCAGTTTCACACCCCTCTTCTCCAGCTTCTCCGGTTCAAGCCTCGGATCGTAGTTGATCACCTCGCCCGTATCCTTGTGTCGGAAGAAGTCGTAGTTTATCGGATCATCGCCATCCAACAACTTGGATGTTCTCTCCCACCCGTCGAGATCATCATCATGTAATCTCGGGTCTTCGGCGCTGACCTCTTGAGTACCAGTGTTCAAGAACCTCAAGACGCGACGATCGCCCTCAACCCATTTTGCTACGCCTACCCACGGTGAAGGTAATGGGCCGAGGAGCATGTTGCCATCTTGTACTCCGTATACAAAGCATTCGCCAATAACAGTGTAGTGACCAGGGCCGCGGGAGCTCGGTCGCAAAGCTAGGGGCGTAGAGCAACCGAGAAATACTGCGATGATATCGCCGGCTTGGGTATTGGATGGTCCAAGGCCAATATAACCTTCGTTGGTACGGAAGAAAAGACGATCACCACAGCATTGAACTGCGTCCGAGACATCGCTCCTGATCTCGGATGTCGACGACTTTGCTGAGTAGCGACCAAAGAGTGCTTGCTCACCGAAATTCTGATTGACCCAAGCAGTTGTCGAGCTGAGCATCCAGTCCGGTTCACACCGAAATGTTGCGGAACCATCGATGCGTTAGAAGAAACTCGATATCGCTCCATGTTTCCCGCAAGTACGGCAGTTCGACCTCGGGATCGTGCCATCCGTTGGCCGGCGCATCCTGCGCGCTCGACAAGAGTCCAGTCTCGGCTTCGAGCAAGAGTTGTTGTCCAAGATTACCGAGTTCATCCATAGCACGTTCGGCCCTGATATTTCCTTCCCCTAACCAAATCGTTGCCCTGTATGATTGATCATAGATGTCTCGCATTCGATGAACGTGCCGATTCATTTCCTCCTCATTGCTTCGCTCAAGACAAAGAGCGTCCATCCATACATGTTTCTCACTTTCAACATCCCGAGATTTTCGCAGGAGAGTGTATACGGTTGTGTTGACGAGAAGCGTTGAGATCTGGTCGACACGTACGACGAAGATGGGTACGATTTCTTTAGCTCCGGTATGCTACGAAAGTGAGGAACAAATTAGCTCAAGTGCAATGACGATGTCGGTGACGAAAAGAAGGCACTCACCACGTATGACATGACGTCGTATTGCAACGGCAGATCACGCACATCTTGGTTCGAAGGCTTGAAACTGCTTTGAGCTGCATTAGGCAGCTGCAAAGAAGTCTTCCCACTCACGATATGGCGAAAGAACGTCTCGTGAGTATTTATCTGAGTATCATATTATCAGCTCTCAAGACCACTGTACATGACTGTAAACAACGCCAAAGCGTCGACGTTGAGAGAGGGATGTGAGAGCTTATTCTTGAGCCCTAGCTGATATTTCTGGCTAGTACATCAAGCCCTACGGTTGTCAACTTACAGTCTGGAACGCTTCCCAGTCGTCAGGCAGATTCTTCCTGATCTCGGCCAAACTCTGCACGACGTGATCATCCTGAGCTCGAGGTCTCAAGACATGTTCGTCAAACCTGATCGTGATCTTGTTTGACCAACCAGGTAATATCGTAGCAAGTCTGATTGAGCCCGGCGGATCCTGTAGCGGGGTATGTTTGTGAGTAGGATATGGATACGGTCTGCTTCCAAGCACTGCGTCGTGAAAGTCGGCTGGCTGGCGAGTACTCGGAGCTTCTGGGTTCTCTTTTGGCCGGATCGTGCTCCAGCGTAGAAAGTTTGCCCAAGGAGGATGCGCGACATCTGTGCGAGATGCTGACATCGGTGTTCCGTTGTTCATGTCTGTATGTATGTCAACTAGCTGTTAGCGACCTTACAACGTTGTAAGTGGTTTCGAGAGCGAAGATGTTGCTTATCGCCGTTTGGAAGTGATTCCACGATGGCAAGGAACTATGGTAGGAAGAAGCAGAGCTATCAGCATCAGTGATAGAAGCATATGTCGTGATTCATAGTATGAAGCGTGACCGCGAATGTGAATGACTGGGAACTGAAATCATCAGTAACACTTGTGATTCACAACAAGATTTGAGTCGGCCTCATGTCCTGGCAATCGCCAGGAAGCACTGCCTATCGCAACGTGATATCCAAATCGAGGAGTCTGGTCGCTATCGTCAAAGGCTCTCGCCGTCCCAGGGGTGTGTAGGTTATCAGAAAGCAGATAATCTCGCAGTGTGAATTGTAGTGACTGGTCCAGCTGCAACTTCAGCGCGTCGCGCAGATACATGGCCAGGGCTTATACCGCGCCCGATAATGAGTCAATAATTATAGTATTCCTGCTTGGACGCGACCGGTGCGCACGGCTTGCTCATGACGCGAGCGCGGCCTCATCGGACTTATGGGTCATGGTTGTACTGGCAGGAGCGCGTCATTCGGTCGAGGCGCGTGTCATCGAGCGCAACAATGAGCGGGATACCACAGTCATACTGGTGGGGAGGTCGAGAATGGGTGTGAGCGGGCACGGGGTGTAGTCGCAATTCAGAAGGATGACGCGAGTGTTGATGTGCAGAGGTGGGCCCTGCCGTTGGCGTGGCGGCGCTAGTGCCCACCAGGGAAAAGCGCGAGCCCCTATGACGTCGGGCAGCCACGTTCCTCATCTTCCAGGAACCACACGCGTACCATCAACATCATCTCATGCGACATTCTCGAGGTCTGTTCCTACATTCGTGACTATGATAACAGCCATCGGTTATTCCGACGCGATCAACTTCCTGCCAGTACCTTCGACTCGCGCTGAATCGTTCTAGAACGGATCTGGATTGCGCCACTGACGACTAGACACAAGATCAATCGTCGCAGGGCAATTTGGCACACCGAACGGAACATAGCCACCCACCGTCCCATGCTCGCCATGGCACCCCTCAAAGACATCCTTGGCGTGAGCCCATATGTCCGACAGCGAAGCCTCGCACTTTGACCAGTCGCCCTTGTAGTGGACTTGGACTGCACACGTCGTAACGACATTCGCCCACCATCTTTCGCCGGGCCTCTTGTGAACCAGCTGCACCTTATTACGATCGAGACCCTCCAGCGTCGCAAAAGCTGCTACACAATCATCGTATTGCGCAGAATCGCTCGTAGTCTGGCAAACAACGTCTATATTTGGGTGGGAGAAGGCGAGTGTCCCAAAGTCAGGCTCGACGATTGCTTGTCGGACAATAGGCTGGTACCACTCTGGGTAAATCGTCATATCGTAAGGCCTGTCTGATACTGCTTCACCGGTGCCGCGGCTGGGGTCAGCATCCTCTAAGTCGAACGCTGTATTGTGACGACTTGGGGCGCCCGGCTCAAAATCTTCGAGCGCCTCGTTCTCTGCTTGCGTTTTCGTGGCAATCCACATACGTGGATACGGGGGGTAGGTGCCGAACGTCTTTTGCATGTACCGTGCGACAGCGAAATAAACGTAGTTCTCGATACCAACTACCTCGCTTCGCAGCTGCACGTCCGCTTGCGAAGTATTGACCATTGCTTCTACAAGCTGGACGTTTCCACCTTCTATGAACAATTCCTTTGACTCTTTGCAAGCCATGAATGCATCTATCGCTCGAACCTGCGTCAGGTCAAGAGAGAAACGCGCACGTACGCAGGGCTCGACGACCTCGGATTGGAACGGCTTACTAACGCCAATATCTGTAAGATACTGTGCAGCTGATGTTTTCGTGATGTCGCCCTTCAGGCCGACCCTTTCGAGCTCGACAGCGACATTGCGATAACCGCCCTCATTTCCAAAATCCTGCAGTCGTTTGTTGGTGGTAGACAAGGCTTGTCGGAAGAGCCTGGGTGACCTGCCGTACTCGAACCGCAATTGCATACGCCTCCAAAATGTCGGTGAGGCGAGCTCACATGAAGCCTGCACTCCAGGATCTAGGCACCAATTACTCCAGTGAAGCAGACGTAACGTATCCCATACGGACATATGATGGGACCAAAGAACCGGCTCCATCAGCCAAAGAAGACCGCACTTGTCCAGCCATTCCCTTAGTCGCTGGATAAGCAATGGTTTACCGGTGATTGTCGTCCCATCCCAGACACCTGTTCTTGTGGGCTCCCGATGCTGTCCTAGAGGCCAGTAGCCAGACCCGTCGTTGAGAGCCAGCCCTAGCTCCTTGGCACTTTGTTCCATACATTTATCGTCGGCAAAGAAGCTGGTAATACCTGTTTCAAGGATTGTCTTGTTTTGAGTGTCCGGGACTACGAATGAAGCGACTCGTCCGCCGATGCGTTCGCTAGAGTCGAAGATCGTGATCGAAAGAGGAAGGTCTGGGGGGATGTTTTTGCGCAAGTGGTATGCTGTGCTAGCACAGCTGATCCCTGCACCTATAATGGCTATCCTCGTCCCCTTTTCATGTGCGTCTTGAAGTCCTGCTTGACGGTTGTTGGTAGACGCGCTAGTGAGTGTAGCGAGAAGCGAAAGTAGAGCGCAAAAGATCGAAAGCGCCATGGTGGGGTCGCAGTAGAGAGAGACGGATAGGCGAAGATAAGTGTTCGTGGGCGTGCGACCATTCACAGGGCTGATACATGGTAGTAACATGACGTAAGCGCACGTGCTGCACAACCTGAAGGCAGCCGCCCCCATCGCAACCTTTCATCTGGACCTGCAAAGACAATACAGTACATTTATCAACCAGATGTGAGACAGAGGGGAGATCAGAGGGGTGTGCGCGTGTTCAAACGCTCTTGAGACCTTCTGCACCGTGTTATGGACTCTTCTTCGAGTCTTCAAGACAAGTCTCCACCACCTTTTTCGTGCCTTCCTCATTCTGCAGCTTGAGACTCAATCGTTCCAACCGCTCCAGCAACGCCTTCTCAGTCTCCCGGAATCTCTGCTCTTCAGCTTCATCATCCTCACCGCCACCGATGTCTCCTGCGGTTGGCGTCTTGTCGCCCTCTCCACTTCCCTCAACCGCCACGACCCCATCCGCAGTCTCGTCGCCCACAGCAGTGCCCTCAATCTCACTCTCCTTCATTGCAGCAGCCCTCCGCCTCTTCACCTCTTCTGCGCGCTTCCAACACATGTCCAATCTCTTTAGACTGCTCTTCGGCCACGACTTCTTGTAATCATGGCCTCTTTGCGCCGTCTTCGCGCCCTCCGGCAAAGTCACCCAGTCTAGCTTACTCTCCACGTGAATGTGTATATCCGGCTCCATGAGCGACGGGAAGTCCAGTGTGCCAACTCTCAGCTCAACGACTGCATCACCCAGGTGGTTACTAGCCCAAAGCTGGACATGGCATTGCGGACACTCGGCATACCGATCGACAAGGCCGGGTTTAACTTCTCGGCTCAGGAACGAAGGCTTCGTCGGAGACAGTATCTGGATGTTGTAGAGTTCGATGTTCAGACTCAGGTAGAAGGCGCTACCCGTCTGTTTCTGGCAGTCCATACAGTGGCAGGCATAGCAGTAGAGCGGGGCTGTAAGGAGCCTGTAGCGGATGGTATTGCAGACGCAGCCGCCACTTAGCGCTGGGAACGGTTTCGACGTGGACATAGTGGTGCTCGTGGTGCGGGGTCGGTCCGGCTGGAATGGCAGTGATTGATAAGCTGGAGGCGGGGTGACACGTGGGAGCTGTGACGTAGTAAGCGACCGAGCCGCTAGTGGGCATTTCGAGATTAGCGTTAATCTTCGCGCGGAGGATTCGCGACTTCACGATACTGCTGGAAAAGTTCACCAGTAACATTCGATGATGATTCGAGAACCATCGCGATGAGCATCCACCTCCTTTCAAACGAGCTCGCAGAGGAGCATTATGACACGGAGATTGACGATGGCATGAGGGCTATCTAATAAGAAAAGATACTTGACAACTTGACGGTTGCATGCGACAGAGCACAGCTATTTATGCCGTTAATTCTCTACGATACTACCAGAAAGCACGTGGTATACTCATATGGCCCAGAGCGAAGCATGCACGTGGAAATTTTGCGCGACTGCTGGAAACTGCATCTCGCAAGGAACCCATACTTCATGCTGGCGGCTACAATCCCACGGACGTTGATGAAACTACCAATATCAGGCCTTTGGAAGTCGACAAAGTGGTCAGCGTCCTTGTAAAGGTGTTATCAAGGTAGCTATTGCGACTCTTAAGCTCTCTGCTTTATGGTAATCGACGAAGATCCGTGCCTTACGCTGCTTACAGTAACGACAACGTCTCCAGACCTGATGCCGGAACGTATCACTGCTAAGGCTCGCCCTCGCCATGTTCTATGAACATTGCCCTTAAAGTCATGCAGATTCTTATAGTACGCAGACCCAAGCGCTGCCAGAGTGGCATCTCCATGTACCTCGACGGTAAGGGTATCGTCGTCATTCATCTCGATGTTTCCCTCCTGATCAGCGAGTTGAAGTTCCAGGTACGCTAGGTCTTGTCTGTCTGCGACAAGTTCACCGGACTTCTCGTTGACAATCCTAACTGAAGCAACGTCAGCGGAGCGGAGCGTGGAGCGCGAACGCTCCTGTCCGCCAGAGTATGCAACAGCAAGAAGTTCGCCAGGCTCGTAAGCTGTCGAAAACCTAGCGGTGTATCTGTTGGCTTGGTTGCTACTTGCGCGCCCAAGCGAGCGGCCATTCAGGAAAAGTTCTGTTTCCTCTTCCTGAGTGATGACCTCAATGTAAGCCTTCTGGCCCTCACAACCCTTCCAGCCCCAGCCCTCGATCGCATCGGAATCTCGCCAGGGCGTCGCCTTGTAATACAAGTTAGAGACGTCCAATGGACGTACCGCAATTACGGGTTGAGACAGGAGTTTCCAGCACGCTTGGGCTACGAAAGCCGAAGCATTGGGCACGCCAGTGATGTCTAAAGCGCCGCAACCCCCTACTAGATGTGGCCAAGGCTTGTACAATTTTATAGGGGTAAACCTGCTTGCCTCATAGTCGTGCACACCAATGCCTACCTCGCCAAGGTAGTCCCATCCAGTCCACATGAAGTCTCCTATTAGGTTCGGAATCTTTTCAACGTTGGACCAGTTCCTAGGAAGATCAGGTGGACAGGTTTCGGTACCGAGCATCATCCTTGAAGGGTGTAATTTGGCATCTGATTGGTACCGGATATCTCCATAATTGTAGCCCGCAACATCCATGTACGAATAGAGTCTGCTGGTCACAACATTGGTGTGATTGAACTTTGGGAAGTACCGCATGAATGAGAGGAACATGCTGGCGATGATGTTGAAGAAAGTGCTAGAGGCCAAATCCCCCAGACCGCCTTTGTTATCTGCAGGAGGAGTATTTGGATCCCCCGGCGGGATTTTTGAAAACATCATCAGGGCCAGCGTAAGATTGAGCGCGATAGTGTTAGGTCGGGATGGATCCAGCTTGTGCGTGAGGTCCAGGAGCTTCTTCGCGATCGTGTGTCCGTAGGCGGATTTTGGTTCAGTGATCTCGTTACCCAATGAGTACATAACAACTGAAGGGTGGTTACGAGCTCGTTCCACAAGAGAAGCAACTTCGTACTCCCAGCGTTTGTTGAAGGTGTTGGAATCGTCATATTTAGACTTTGCCTGGTACCAGTAGTCGGCAAACTCATCCATGACGTACATGCCTACCTCATCACATGCTTGTAGAAGAACTTCTGAGCATGGATGGTGCGACATACGAATAGCGTTGAAGCCATTCTTCTTCATGATCGACACGCGCCGCAGTTCAGCAGCTTTGAACGATGCTGCGCCGAGGATACCGTTGTCTGCGTGTATGCAACCACCACGCAACTTCACAGTCTGGCCATTGACCAGGAATCCATGACCAGGCTTCAACTGCAGAGTGCGCAGACCGTACTTGAACTTATAGAGATCGCCGTTGATGACGACAGTGCAGTCGTAGAGATTCGGAGTCTCAGCCGACCATGGATCTGGGTTCAATATCTCGAAGTTTTGTCTCAGCTCAGACGTTGTCGTTTTTGTTCTCCACTGGATCGCGTTCCTTCCTCCTCTCGAAAGCTCGAGAGATACTTCAACGTCATCCTTCTTTTCGTTGTTGAGTAAAACCTCGAATGTGAGAAGAGCAACCCCACTGGCGGAGAGCGTTGCCAGCCTGATCCCGTCCTTGCAAAGCAGATTGTGGTTCCGAACCATGAGATGAACGCTGCGATGGATTCCGGCTCCAGTGTACCAGCGCGCGTTAGGTTGTTCACTGTTGTCGGCATGTACTTCGATGGTGTTCCTCTCGCCGAGCTTCAGGTAAGAGTCTACGCGAATCTCAAACTTGGTCCAGCCCGCCAGACAACCGCCGACTTCTGTGCCGTTCACCAGCACGCGACTGTGCCGGTAAACACCATCAAAGCTCAAAGCGACCACTTTGGACTCCAGAGTAGTAGGCGCTTGCCATGTTTTGCGATACTTGTACATTCCGCCAAGATAAAATCCGCCATGAGTTCCAGCGAGGGCGTCCTCCCGCCGCCCTTCTACCTGCATAGCATCGTGGGGAAGGTGTACTTTGCTCCAGCCAGTTTGCCCAGAGCGTTGGAACTCCCAATCTTCGTTGAAAAGTGTCGCTACTTCGGCCATTTTTTGCATCTGCTATGCACTGGAAGTTGAACCAAGGGCATGAAAATTAAAGGTAGGGGCTTAACTTTCTAACACGGGGTCAGCAAAGTTCTTGTAGCGTCAAGCGTACCAAAAACGTACACGGCCCTCCTCGGTGCAATAGTCTGCATCTTGGAAGATGCTTGCGCACAGGTACGTATATCCACCAATGATTTGGTGTTACATAGAAGTTTCCAGCCTTGTAGCCCTGATATTATTGTGCAGAGAATCCATTAGCGCTTACGTCGAAAGTCGGATGCACAGAGGCCGGGTCCGGACGCCTTCTGTAGCTTCGGATGCACAAGGTCCCGAGTCCGGACGCCTTCGCGACTCACAAGCTACCCAGCGCGTGCGCCTATCATGCACTTAGTTAATAACTCGAAGCAAGCGCCTATCGTGTCGCGGCTTTCATGCCGACTCTTAGCAGCTAGCAAAAAATTGTCATATCGCGTAGGCCCAGGCGAAGGAAGGAACCAGACTGCAGCCATTGTGGTGACGCAGAAGCGCCTGCGTATTACAGCACTAATGACGGCTCAACGTCGATACTCATGAGGCTGCAGATGTCGTTGTGGTGGAGAAGCCGTGGTGTTGAACACCGCGATGACGCGCCGCAATTGCTTGGCGTCGGACCGCCGATTGGCCACCATCTCTCAGGTACACACCACACCATCCGACCGCCATTAACACTTCAACGCCATCATCTCGGCAGCCAGCGACTGTACGACAAGTGCGGCCATCTATATTGCAAGCTCATCGTCGTGAGTACGTAGTGATGCTATCATCACCGACGTACGCAGCGCGCGTCATCACAGCATCTGGCAGCGCGCGTCGTAGTGCCTCACGTAACGCGACCGCGTCATAGAATCTCTTGCTAATCTCAAGTCAACTAACGTCAGCTCGCAGCCTCTTGGTGAAACGTCAGTCACTGGTTGGGAAGGGTTCGGGAACGTCTCAATCCATGAAGAGTCGCCTGCTCTACGGCTCACCGAACGGCGCCTTTCCATTGTCGTCTCTTTCCGAAGCTACATGCCAACGGTACCCTCCCAAACCATCGTCTCCGGCCTACAACGCGAACCGGAAGTCGGGATGATCATCACCCAGCGCCTTCATACTCTGATCCAGAACCTCCGGCATCTGCAACCTTGCCTCGTCGCGCTTCTTGTTCTCCCTCTGACAACCAAAGAACGTCACCGTCGCAGCGACAACACTGATACAAGCCAGTCCGAGACCCGTACTGAACCCAGTGCGGAACACCGGCGCCTCCGAAAATAGAAAAACGTTTGAGCTAACGAAGGCTCCAGCAGTACCAAGGTTGATAATCGCAGCGATAGCCACGGCGCGCTTGTACCCAGAACCGCAGTTCATCGAGACCCAGATGATCGAGATCGGCATCGCGAGATAGCATCCAGCTGCCACGAAGAAAATTCCCATATACCGGATCTTAGGGTCGGATGGATGCGCAATTTCCACAATGAGACCTGTCGCGAGAACTGCCCAACCCAGGACGTAGAACAGATACCGGCGCTGCAGCCATTCGCTCATGTACGCGAAGATAACGGAGAAGGCGGCGCCGACAAGATACACAGGGATCGTGTGGACCTGCGCTTGCGTCGCGGTGTAGCCGAGGCCCTTGAGGATGGTAGGCTGGAAGTTCGCGAGAGAGTTCGCGTTCTCAGTCACCCCGATGTTCATCAAAACGCTGGTCATTCGTTAGCCTTGCTATGCGCAAAGTCATACATGCCTCTCACCCAGTCCAGATCTTCCAGTCCTTGAGGAAGTGCAACGCCTTCTTGAATGAGATCTCGTCGTCAGCTACGTGGCCACCATCTGCCTGAATCCGTGCAAGCATGAGCGATTTTTCGTCGGGAGACAGAAACTTGCAGTGCTCGGGGAACGGAGGGACGACGGGCCAGCATGCTATGCTGACGAAGATAGTTACACAACCCTCGATGATGAAGATCCTACTTCACGTTAGTAGATGTAAGCCAATGGACTCCACAGTCAACCTACCATCTCCACGCTCCATAACCGGCTGTACCGTCCATCCTAGCAATCAGCGAGGACACGAAGCCGTTGATCGCGCCCGCAACAATACCCGCAGTGCAGAAGAACACGTATCGCGTCAAGTATTCGCGCTTCGAGTAGTATGCGCCGATCAAGTAGGCCGCTCCCGAGATGTAGGCCGACTCGGCGATGCCTTCCAGCAGACGGCAGACGACGAGTTCCTCCCATCGCTTTACGAGTCCGCATCCGATCACGGTGATGCCCCAGCAGAACATCATTACGCAAAGACTCTTGGGCCCATACTTCTTAAAGGCGATTTGCAATGGGACGCCGGCGACAAGATAACCCAGGTTGAATACCCAAACCGCAATGTTGAATCGCTGGCCAACGAGATTCAGCTCCGTCTCCATGCCCTGGATCTTCGCGTTGCCTATGTTGGCGCTCCAAAGCGGATTAGCATCGCACGTCAAGCAAGGAAGAAGCTGAACAGGTCTGCAGCCTACATCAACATAGAGACATGCGAAGTAGGTGACCTAATGTCGGTGTAGGCTCCAGACCTACTCAGCTTTTCTTTTCAACATACCGGTCAATGAAGTTGACCAGATACAATATCCATAGTACTGGCAAGATCCGAAAGTCGAGCTTGCGAATGAGTCGCCTCTCCGCAGCGCGATCGAAGCCATGCGCGCTTGTTGACCCTGCTGAAGACACCGGTGAGTCGTGGACGTGAACTCCCTTCTCGACAATGCTGGTGTCTGTCATGTCGGCGGAGTGTGATGAAGAACGGAGGAGGGGTGATGTTGCTGCTGCGAAGTCGACCGGACTATCAGTAACAGCTCGTTATGCGATGCTGGCAGGGTCAAGGTTCACTGCAGACCAGACGAAAGGCTACTCGAATTACGCCCAGTCAACATGTATTCCCTCACCGCGTCGCACTTTCGCCCTGTTCGAGCTCTGACTGTCGGAAACATTCCAGAACGAGCTTAATAATCTCGATTACGAGCCGCGAAGCCTTCGGTCATGACCTGATGTGCGTCGTCTTGTTGAGAACGATCAGCGGACGTTTTGCGCTTCTTCGCAACGTCTACTTCGCGATGCTTGCGATTGGCTATGGTAGGCGGAAGGATGCGCGGGCATCACATGGAAGAAGTGTCCGACATGGGGCGTGTAGGCCATCGCGCGGAATTGAGCCCTCTCCGCATCCTTCGCGACTTGGTTATACGAACGATGGATCAACAACCTATCGTTGTGTGAAGCCGTCGGTGGCAATGCTTCTTTCGAAGCTAGTCTTGCGGTATGCCGTTACATTATGAGTTAGCGGGCTCGGGATGAGAGTTCAGATCCACAACGGCGCCTTCGGCGGGGAAGAGGCAACCCCACCGCAGCGGCCCGCGCCAAATCTTCAACAACGCTCCAGACTCACGGCACAGTCCGAACCTTTCGTTTCTCCAAGCAAATACATCGTCATGGAAGATCTTGTCATGATCAGTACATTCACAAAGTCTGGAGTTGGCATTGAACGGTAGTTAGCGGCAGTTCACAGAATGCCGGTAAGCATGCCGCAGCACAACTGTTGATCTGCGTTTCTCCTCACCTTCACTGCTTTACAGGGAGTTAGCGCATCTGTATTTAACCAGGCGAAATCCCGGTGTTAACGCGATGCAAGCTTTGCCGTGCCGCTCATTCGTGGTACTGTTGTATCATAAGCCTGCCCCACCTCTGATGTGGGTCATCTTACCACCGAGCAGCTGCAGTTGTACCTCGAAGTAAGGTTTGGGAACTGGAAGTTAGCTCGCATCAAGTGTGAAGTATGCTGTCAGCAACGTTTATCACGATCATCATATCGCAGCCATTTTCTCGTGACCTGCTTCGCTGTCAGATCTGGAATATCCCCAGCCTACCACCGTCATGACTGAACGAAACCCCATGAGCATCGCGATCGTCGGCGGCGGCATCGCTGGCCTCACGTTGACTATCGCAATCCTCACCAAATGTCCACACATCAGTGTCACCCTATACGAGTCCGCCGCAGCCTTTGGTGAGATAGGCGCAGGTGTCGGCTTCTCCCCGGTTATGGTTCGCACGATGGCTCTCATCGATTCACGCATCGCGGAAGCGTTCGTCAAATGTAGCAAAGGCAACACTGTCACCGACCCACCGAACTGGTTTCATGTAAGGGTTGGAGATGAAAGAAAGAAGGATGTCAAATTGGGGGAAGAGATCTTTGTTATACCAGGGAGAAAGGGACCGGGAGGGGGCGTACACAGAGCTCACTTTCTTGACGAGCTGGTCAAGCTGGTACCGGAAGGAGTCGCGCAGTTCAAGAAGAGGGTATTTGAGATTACTGAAGCAGACGACGGCTCCGGCGATGCGATTCTGCACTTTGCCGACGGGTCTACTGCGCAACACAGTGCGGTGCTTGGATGCGACGGCATCAAGTCGCGCGTGAGATCTCTCGTGCTAGGCGACTCCGAGGCAGCGAAGGCGGTGTTCTCGGGCAAGTATGCGTATCGGGGGTTGCTGCCGATGGCGGAGGCGGTCGATATCCTGGGCGATGAGACACCAAGAACGCCGCAGATGTATATGGGCTATCATGGGCACGTGTTGACATTCCCCATTGCAAACGGCACGCTCTTCAACGGTATAACAACTCCGCTCATTCATCGATTCAGCTAACAAACCTCCAGTCGTCGCTTTCTTCTCGCGACCCACATGGGAAGACGAGAATTGGGTAGTCCAAACGTCTCGCGATGACATGCTAGAGGACTACGAGCACTGGATCCCCGCCGTGCGCAAGATCATGGAGAACGTCCGGAAGCCCGACATCTGGGCGCTATTCAACCACCCACCTGCATCAACCTACTATAGCGCTAAGCCACTCATCTGCCTGGTGGGCGACGCGGCTCATGCTTCGACACCGCATCAAGGTGCCGGGGCGGGTATGTGTATCGAAGATGTGTACGTCCTGAGCGAGTTGCTGTCGCAGTGTCATGCGAAGACTACCCTCGAGAAGGTCTTCCACGCATACGACGCTGTTAGAAGGCCGCGCAGCCAGAAGCTAGTCAAGACTAGCAAGGAAGCTGGCATGCTGTGGGAGTTTGAAGGCGAAGGTGTCGGCGACGATTTGGAAGCGCTGCGGATCAATGCGCAATCGAGGATGGCTTGGATTTGGGATCATGAGATATCGGATGATTTGACGAAGGCAAGACGCATGATGGACGATGGCTTGCCAAACACTCCGTAGCCATGGGATGTAGAGGTGGTCTGGCAATTCTCGGAAACAAGTCTTTTCGCTGCCACACCTGCTCCAGACTTGAGCGCGTTTCGCCTCATGTGCCGTTTGTTGAATGTCATCGTCCAACGGAAGCTAGGTGCTGCTTCGGGGTCAGAAACGGATGTTGTTCCAGGAAGCCGCTGGGACTAATCGTGCCGCACAGCCCCGCTCGCATCACCAACCACCCTACTTCACGGTTTAACCCCACGCTCGACAGAAGGCGGCGCATGATAACAGAGGCGTGCAGCCTCAATCCTACGCACCAGAGAACCTGGCTTGATACGCTGCGCCTTTTGTTTGTCCAGTGAGAGACAGAGAGGCTGCAGTCCGGCCCGCGACTGCGTCTCGGAGCCTTCGAACACAGCCACGACTGTCCAGGTTCGGCAGCCTCAGGCGGAGGTACGTGGGTGTATGGATGGATGCTATGAGCGTTAACGAAGACTGCGATGGTGAGTATAATTGGGCTTAGGCCACACCGGCCAGTGTTCAAAACTCTACAGCATCACAACTCTACCTTGAAAACTCATTACACGATCTGTCCCATACATCTCGAGTAAAAATACTTTTTCTAGCATGTCTGTTTACACATCCAACCCCAGAGTCGTTGCCAACGCGTCTGGCCGCCAATGGGACCCAGAAGCGGTGCTTAAGCTCTCCTTGGACAGCCGCTGCATTGCATGGGCGCCCACTATGGGTCGCAAGTGCCGCAACCCTATAGCTCAAGCCAATACACACAGGTTCGAGATGTTGCTCGCTGATATGGCGGCGCAACAGCCAAACCCTGAGGAACTCCGGCCAGATCTTGAGTGCCTTGCTTATTATGGCTTGTGCTCACGTAACCATCGGTGCGAAGTCCAAAGCATGGTAGAACGGTGGGTAAGGAGTCTGGAGGAGGCCTTCCGAGGTGATACTGGAAGGATGGATGGACAAGTCGACTTGACGGCAAGGCGGATAAGGCAGCGGCCTGGGTTTTCGAACAGTATTACTTCCGTTGTCTACGACGTAGTGCATCCACCTAACAACGCGACAGGTATCGCGCCATCGGATACCGAGGCTACCGCACGTGCCGGGATACAGCAGCAATTTGCTGCGATGCAACAAATGCTTCGTGATGCAGAGCGCCGCATTGAGGAATTGTCCGTTCGTCAGGTTGCCAACGAAAACCGCCCGCAATCGACCTCCCATATATCTCGTGTGTCGGCGAGCATCGTACCGTCGTTGGCATCTTCGCGGGTCTCAGGTACCGCGTCTGGCCTGCGCGGAAGTCGCCCAGCTCTCACCACAACATCAAGTGAGATGCGAAGGCCAACGGCGGCCAACACACGATCGTCTCCCAGCGCATCATCTAGCGCATCGTCCGGCGTGCCATCCCGTGCGACATCAAGCCCGGCCGTGTCGGAGGCATCACCACGCTCTACGCCCTCAACACCAATACCCCGTTGTACGCGCTCCCATGCCCGTCGCTTGCCCTTCGACGACGAATGCCCCATCTGTCAAGACGGCAGTCTTCTCTCTCAATACGAAAGCTCAGAGGTGGTGTGGTGTCGATCGAGCTGCGGCAAATCGCTTCACAAGACGTGCTTGGAAGAGTGGCGGCGACAATCCGTCATCTTCACATGCCCGTTTTGTCGCGGTGATTGGGACGAGGGCTCAAATTGCGATGCCTGTGATGTTGTCCATGTGCGTCGAAGAACCATCGAAGGAGATTGTGCTATCTGCTGTGAGGATTTGAAACAAGCCGAGCCGGAGGAGGGCAATGCAGACCTTGTCTGGTGCAGGGATGGTTGTGGCCAGAGCGTTCACCGTGATTGCTTTGATAGTTGGAGAGAGCATTGCGTTGCTGTTGGGTCAGAAGCCTCCTGCGTGAACTGCAGGGCTTCGTGGCGGCGCGAGGGTTGTGGATGCTAATGGCATGTGCGAACGCGTAGGTTCGGTGTTGCCTTCGGAATGGGGTTCCGATCAGAGTAGGCCCTCCGCATATTCACCAGATACCTCGCGCCTACCCCAACCGTATAATTTAGAACTCACATCAAATCTAACGTACCATCTGGGCACTCGCCAACGTCAAGAAGTCAGCGCTTCTGCAGCTCCATGACTAACATCCACGTACCGCGCTGGCGCTGTCATCTCATGCGGGCCAAGTCCCGCGAAGCTAGGCACCAGCCGCCTGCTTCATACCACGCTCGTCGCGACATCATCGTCCGACCACATCAAGCCAGGAAACGACTGGACACCCTGGAGTCTACATCAACGTTTCGTCACCCACTTTGCATGTTCTTATATTAATGCAGTCTGCAATGGCACTCTGTAATACATGCAAGGCCTTGCCCATCCGCAGCATTCTCAAGCTTGCCCGGGGCGATAGCGATGTCAATGACCATTTCCAGCGCTTCCCGGTACCCGGATCCTACCACGGAAATGAAACGTCACCATTCGTCAAATGGCACAACAGCCTGTCCGATCTGCAGAAAAGTGCAACCCAACTGTGCACGTTCTGCCATTCCATCTTCAATCGCCTGAGTAACAGCTACCATTATCACGCAAATTGCAAAGACCTTGACGAGAAATTATGGCTAGAGTTGGGCGTGGGCTCAGCCAGGTTGAGCGTGTACATGGGCGAAAAGATGCCAACAGTACGTCTCAGTGGCAAGTTCTGGTACATGTCAACACCAGATAGTGCCGTCGCAGACTGCTTCAGGGAGCATGAGATCATTTCGGACTCGTTACATCCCTACGTGCTTCAGAAGACGTCAGCATGGGTGAACCAGTGCGACGACCACCATGCGAGCTGCCGACAATCGACGCAAGAAGCGACCTTGCTACCCACACGCCTTCTGGACCTCGGCTCGCTGCCTAAAGCCGCAGACTTCGAAGGCATCCGCGGTGATCCACGGGCTCAACTTGAAGACACATCGCTGAAGCTTGTAGAACCCTCTTCAGGCAGCACAGGCCGGTATATCGCGTTGAGCTATTGTTGGGGAAAAGGGTTGCCTATCACGACCATTTCGAAGAACTTGGAAAAGCATAAAGAGAAGAATGGAATCAAGTACAAGCAGCTACCCTCGACCCTCCGAGACGCCGTCTTCCTTACCAGATATCTGGGCGTTCGATACCTGTGGGCAGATTGTCTCTGCATCATACAAGACGACAAAGCGGATTGGGAGAAGGAGGCGTCTCGAATGGCTGATGTGTACACCAACGCGTGCCTCACAATCGCTGCTACGCGTGCCAGCCACTGTGGGGAGGGCTTTCTGCAAGCACGCAAAGCGAAAGACCGACACGTCGTCAATTTCACGGATCAGAAGGGATCATTCGACCTTTTTGTTTATTATGACGATCTGACGATGTCCCCCGGCTCGATGGAGTCTATTACCGACCAGTCGATCAAGATGCGAAGAGTAAGCTTCAATCCCCCAAGTCAACCTAAGAAAGAATGATCACCCGGGGGCTTACATCAACGTTCGGTCACTTACATTGCATGCTTTCGTGTTGATGTAGTCACTAGACCTCTCCCTTCTGTGCCACACGACTTGAAGCTAACGCTGCTTAGGAAGAGCCTCTCTTAAGCCGAGTCTGGGTCCTCCAGGAACGTGTTCTGGCACGCCGCACGATACATTTCGCGAGCTACCAAATGCAATGGGAGTGCTCAGAGCAAGTCCTTACCGAAGACGGATACATCGAAGACTATAAAGCATGTGAAGAGATCTCGCTGGAACGGATCGCGCAGGGACTCAAGAGCATGAAGGACGCGCCAGTGCTCCGAGACACTCAACGATCCCAGAACGCAGAGGTCACTTGGAGGTTCAACCCGGCATGGCGCGTATGGTCGCGCTTGATCGAAGAGTACACGTCTCGCAACATGACCTTTCAAACCGACAAACTACCCGCACTTTCTGGAGTCATCTCGGCGCTACAGAACCTCACTGGCGACGTCTGCCTCGCCGGTATCTGGAAAAGCTGGTTCCTTCAAGGCTTACTCTGGCGCCTGCAGATACCCGACTGGGACGAATACGTCTTCTTTCCCAAGACGCCACAGCGAACGGACTCTTGGAGAGCTCCGTCATGGTCATTTGCGTCTGTTGAAGGCGTCGTAGTCTACCATGCGCTTGACCACGATCCTGGCCGAGAGACATGCGCGGAACTGCTCGAATGCGACGTTCGCCCCAAGGGAGTCAATCCACTCGGAGAATTAACCACGGGATACGCGAAGATCAAGGCACCGGTTGCTGCAGTGTTTGACGTGTCGCCCGAGCTTTCAGAGACTGGAAGAGGATGCAAAGTCCGCATGACAAATGACATTATTGCAGAAGGCAGTGTATGGTTCGACGTCGAAGTGCACGACTCTTGTCAAGTGCTTATGATTACGCCTCATACGGGCATTGCTATCGTACCAGTCGATAAAGTGACCTACACAAGAGTCGGAGTGGTCACGGTATTCAATATTTATGACCCCACGAACAAAGCTTCCAGGCGCGACGACACGGCTTTCATGAACCGCGACAAGTCGATTTCGTCGTCTTACTACCCAAGTGCGGAAACCATCACCCTGTTGTAAGGCTTCCTTCAGTACGACGGACAGCGATGCTTTCTTCTGGTGCAGACGCGACGCGACTACTATGCCAACAATTCCGCAACTTACGACGATAAGGTCGGCCACTGTAGACGCAGCTTGTCAACAGTACGAAAAAGCGATTCCGAAAGGCCATGGTATTAGCTATATGCGATGTGTACCTCGCACCTCAACACTCAGGTGGGTGGGGCGTGTGCGCATATGCAGTCAGCCGCTACGATCCGATCATACGGGCCGCGGTCAGGGTGCATGCCAAATCGATGCGAACGACCAGTGTGACAGTGGCCAGCCAGCCCATCGGTCTCTTTTAACAGCCTGTTATCACATCCATCGCCCTTCCTTGTCCGCGGCTTTCGCCGGTACTACGACGTTGTGTAGGAGGGTCGGCCGGTCAGGTACG